TACGGACAGGTCAACCATGCATGCAAGCGTAGATCGGGCAGACATGTCTATCTAGTTACTTTGTCGACGTTGACGATACTTCTGTTGGAATGGCCGATGCGGCATTGCCGCCGGCATCGCGAGCTTCCCACGCTCATGGGAAGCATCAAAACGCCCGGCGGGTAACTAACGAACTCTTCCGAGAAGGTACGGCAGCACGTGGTGGACGTGACGATACCCTACAGCAGCCATGCACACCCAATCATTCTTGCTATAGGCACCAGCTCCCATCCTACGTGTACTTGAGAGACGCTATCCAACCCTTACCTTACCTATCAATCTGAAGGAATATTCGCTGTACACTGCCCAAGTAGCACGTTCTCTGCGGAACGCGTGCACATACCCTCCACCTCCCCATTCGGAACTTCTGTAAGCTGCCAGGCCGCCCTCAGCCCAGAAACGCCATCACATACCAGCCATTACTCACCAACCTCCTTCCAAAGACGTTGACAGCAACATCGGCCATAGCACCCCTCGAGCTACCACCTTTTCTCACCGCTGACATCACTCCAAGGCCGCCATGGGGGCCCCCAGCGACGCAGCCGTCTTCGCCGTGCTAGTCCTTCTCCTGACACCCCACGCGGTGAGTACAAGTGTACGTAACACCGCTTCATGCTGCCACCACGTCACTGCACCCGTCACAAAGCACACCTGGAAGCTTTGGAGGCTGCTGCAATTAACTTCCGCTACCCATCCGCATTACTGCACGCATTTTGCAACACGCAGGCAGTTGTCAGGGCGCAAATTGTGGACGCGGTTTTCGATGGAGAGTATAGCGGATACAGCAGCGTCGGCGCTGGCAGCGGCAGTGGCGCTGGCGGTGGTGGCAGTGGTGGTGGCGCTGGTGCTGCTGGTGGCGGCGGTGGTGGCGGTGGCGGTGGCGTATTTGCTAGCGCCAGTGTTAGTGCTGGCGACGGCAGTGGCGGTGATGGCGGCAAGGGTGGCGGTGACGGCAGCCGCCTAATTACTGCCATCAATGAGAAGAAAGGCAACATCAGCAGCGTTGTGGACGAGTTCAGGGCGTTCAAGAACCAGACGATACAGGCAAAGCAGGAGGTGCAGGGAAGGATAGGTGAGACTTGCTTGGCCGTCTCGTCCACTTGGGAGGGCAGGCCGCAGCGAAAGGTTGAGGAGCAGCTACAGCCACAGGCCCTCAGCAGAGATAGGGGTTACCATGGCGTTGGGGTTATCATGGCACACGAGCTTCATGCACCCATGTATGCCCCTGAGGTCGAGAGCTAGGCTGCTGTTGCTGTTGCGCCTCCTGCTGGCTTAAAGCCTGTCTGAAGATTGCGAGCCTGCCTGCCACCTTCCTAGCCTGATGAGCCCTAACCCCCTCCCGCATCCCGTGCCGCACATGTCGCGGTATCGGACATGGGCTCGCTTCGCGGCCGCTTCAATGCAGAGGAACACCAAGGGTACAAAGGTAGGGTGGTATGTCATGCTATTGTCGAGGGGCCGCCGCCAGCTGCGTCCCTGCCTTGCTTGACGACTCCAGAGGATCGTGCATAAATGCACACTCTCCGTGTGCACATCCACGCACTCCCACTCCGTCTTGCAGCAGCCGCAGGACACATACAAGCCTGCCCCTGTGTCATGCATGTTCAACCATTCTTTTGCCCTACCTGTTGATACCAGCACCATAATTGCCTGGACTGTTGTGCGAAAGCCCGCCGCCGCACCACCACTACTTCCTCCGCCGCAGCCGAGATTGCTGGCAACGTAACCGATCGAGTCAAGACCGGGGTCAATGAGACCCAGATTGCCGAGTTCCTCGCCCAGTTCCGAGAGAACTTCGGATCCGGTAGGTATCAGCAAGATGCTCCGTTTTCCGTACATAGTGCCGTACATACTGCCGGTCGGCCGAGAAGCCTTAAGGGGAGATTGTTTGCTGCAGTATCTCATACTATTGCAGACTACCGGTAGCTTGACGAGTCTCTGGTTCTGGCGGCGGTGGGGCCATGCGTTCTAACGATTTCGAGCATGTGCAGCAGCATGTACGCGTTTCCTACTAGTTCTCCACGTCCCGCTTCTGCCTTGTCGTTAGATCCTGGCATTAGCCTACGCATGCATGGGACACATGCGTTCCTTGACGTCTTTCTTACCTTGGACCCCACGCACGCCCCCACACCAACCCCTGGCAGGCACAAACATTGCAACCGCCCAAGAAATCTGGGACAGCAGTAACCTGAAAAAGTCCAAGGACCGAGCGCAAACAATTTACAATACCATCGTATCCGCTCAGCAGCTGGCAATCAGCGCAATCACGGTGTGTGAATACGGGCAGCACGATGTGTGATGTCACCTGCATGCAGCATGCATCCCGATCAAAGTGCTTGCAGCATGCTTTGCCGTCAACCGTTCACCATGCACCCTTACGACCTCCCTGCCGCCCCTGCTGCTTGCCGTGTCTATCGCCAGGCGGGACCCCTTGCAATCACCGGTTTAATTGTGATCAGCTTGGGTCTCGCTGCAGCCATCACGTCGACTGTAGCAGGCGCCTTGTACGCAGCAGGCAGCGCTGTGTCCCTGTATGTGTCGATTGGGGCCGCAGTTATTAATCAGTGCTCATCATCCACGCCGGGCGACACGGTTATTGCCACGGGCGACACGGTTGTGCCTGACACATCGGGCGGTGGAACAGCGGCGTCCGATGGCGGTGGCAGCGGAGGCAGTGGCGGCAGTGGCAACAACCAGAATGGAAAGGGCAAGAAGCCTGCAATCAAGTAAGACGCGAGGGCTGTGGAATCACATCCAAGGGCAAGGGAGGGGAGAGGGGATGCAGGGGCACCCGCAACGTGCATCGACATTGGCCTGCATGCGTGTGTTACCCTTAATACGAATCCTGCATGTCTGCGCGCTGTTTGCTCTTCCCCACGCACGCAGCTGCTTCGACGCGCAGCAGGAAGCGGGCTGGATGAGTGGCATTATGAACCAAGCGTACGAACTCAACAAGTGAGTACGACAGTGCAACGCGTACGGCAGCAGTTGTGCAAGGCTGCGCACGATACTGCTGCTGTTGACCATGCATGGATCATCCTGACACAGTCAGCTTGTGATACATAGGCAAGGCCTACACGTGCTAGGCACCAGTAGGCAGCTAAGCATGCCCTAATTGACCATCCGCCCAGATTTATTAGTCCCCGGAAAACGCGCCTTTCCGTACAATGCGACATGCAGCATTAGGCTGTTAGGAAATGCAGGATATACAACTGAGACGTCGACTGAGATTTTTGTAGGCGCATGCACAGCTTCCCTAGGCACATGTTAAATGTCGACCTCTTCTTCAACCCTCCACATGTGCAGGTATCTTGTGCCGTACATTTACAACGGTGGCATGGACCAGCTCATGTCTATTTCGGAGGGCGTGCTGCAGGGCACCATCACCCTCGCCAAACGCATGCAGAACGCGCCATAGTGACCTGCGAGGAGAAGTTGTGACATGTGAGCGTCTCATGCAGTCCAATGTAAGGCTGTTACATGTGACCTTGGTTTGCCAGCTGCTGGGTATGGCGGCAGCCTGCTGGGCCGAACCAATGCTGGTGGAAGGCCACCATTTGCAGGCAGCTATTACCCGTAAGCTGTGCTGGTGGCTTGCTTAGGCGAGCGGGCCGCCCTAATGCTGTTTCTTGATATCATCTGGCCAATGTATGGTTATGTCCGCGTGGTTGTGCACTTTACTAGGTACTAATGGGGGCGTAGGCTATCATGCAAAGCCGTTTTTGGGTGTCGCAAGGTGGTTGAGGTGAGAGACTCTGTTCATGGCATGACACGTAGTAGCTAGCTTCCTGGGGGCTGCGGTTCGTCACCCTCAGCAAGCGGTCCATCCGTCCCGCCTGTTACACAGACTCTGGCAAGAAATGAGGAGGGCATAACTACAGGAACAAATGGCGGGTTATGTCACGTTAACTTGAGGATGGCGTGGGGTATCCTTGCGTGGGTCTGCAGCATTGACCAAGGCCTCAGCCACGTGGCTTGGCCCCGAGCATGAGGTTTTGGGCATGGTGGTGGGGGGGGTAAAGAGGAAACATGGGGATGAGTGCGCTGAGGCGCATGACGTGGGGCTGGATGTGTACCAGTATTCCAACAATGGATTACGGCCGAAATTATATCCCTTGTGAAGGCTTCTGGTAGGGTATACGCGTTGCCGAACTATGTTACCATGCTTGGATGCCCCAGGAACAGGTGCGGCACGAGCAGGACTCTAACTTGGGCACCATACCGGTAGCACATGCAAAGATCGGCAATGCAGCCCACTAACCCTCCACCAACTCGAGATACCCGTGCAGGCTGGATGCTGTATGAACAAATGCAGGACTACCCCCGTCAGTTCCTGAGCACCAGGTTAGGGCTGCAAGGTGCAGGTCACGTCCTTCGGTTACGTCCATGATGTTCCTCAATTGATTCGGCTGACAGCAAGTTGTCTTGCCCGACGTTGCGGCGATCCATGGCTGGGCGAGTTCACAGCAATTCTCCTACGCAAAAACCGGCAGCTGCGACAGCTAGACATTCCGAAAACCTAGGCTCAAGGTTTAAGCCAGTGCTAGAGGCCTCCTGCCTGTGATGAAGGCAAAATTGTATAGGACGGCAGCAGTTGAAGCCTGGGAAACCACCGTAAGATGGATAGTCGCCATGTCCATAGCCTTCCATACCTTTGCAATTGTAAGCTTGTTACGAGGGCATAACTGCATAGTAGTCATTGAACTTTATAAAAAAAAGGGGTGGTAGCGGCGTTACAGAGAGGTAGGCTGGGGACGCTTGGGGCCGCGGCTCTGGTGCAACGCGACTGACCCAGGTTAGCCGATAGATGCATAGCCCATTTCTTTATGTACACAGTGGCTATTTGTTTTCATCTGTGCCGCTGTTGCACTTGGGTTGCCCCCCTTGCTTGCGGGCATACTACAGCTGTCGTAAGCGCCGTGATAGCAAGCAAACTAACGACAGCTCGCGTTACCTGCAACACCTACACATTCGTTAAACATATATACCATACATCTTATAGCTTTACAACATTATAACACTTGATAAGCTGCCCCTTATCGCGAATACATTGCCACCCGATACCGGTGCCCCAACGCTTCTTACTATTGCCAATATGTCCGGTGTTGTTACTGCTCTACAGCCATCTATGGTAAGTTCAGGCTGAGGGTGGTGCCTTGTGGCAACTGCCAATTGCCATGGTGCATAATGACAGCTCCGCTGTACCCAAATGGTTTGCAGGGATGGGACGTTCACCTACGATGCCCCCCAATCCGCGTTGCACCACCAGCGTTTGGAACGCTTTGCGCGGTGAGTTATAACTGTCCGCTAAACCAATTCCGAATCGACGCGAACCTTGGTGCGGCATGCCTCCTTCCTATGGCGGACTTCACAAACGCAATATAAATGACGTTATGCAGGCACCTTGCCCTGCAACCGTTCGACGAGAAGTGCCACCTGCACCGCAAACGCTTGCTCGTCCTCCGGCGGCAACGGAGCGCTTCAACCTCATCGTCCCCACGTCCTTACTGGAAAAATCTTTTGACATGAACAGCGTGCTGCAACGTGGCTTAACAGTTGTGTTCAAGATGGTGCGCGGTGGCTCCGCTCCGCTGTCCAAGACTTTGGGGGCTGCCTACGGCTACGTCACGCGTCATGTGAATCCAATTGGCCTCACCACCTATCGCGTGTGCGGCCAGCACCCCCTCGGTGCTGGAAGCGGATGCCTGCTGCACGGCTGGTCTACGGAGGACGGATGCCTGGTAGTTGAGGTCATGGAACGCCAACAGACAACGCCCATGCAGGTAAGACTACAACATCGTGTGGCTTTACCCAGGTGTCTGCTTGGTGCACAAGGTTGCGGCCTGCTGCTATGGCGGTATCCTTTGCAAGTCGACTTCAACAGAGACAGTGAATCTGTAGTAACAATGCTTATATCCTTTGTCCAACTGGCTGCAGGAACCCCCAACAGCGCCAACCCACCGGCTCTTCGGTGATTGCCTGCCCTCTCCCGCCACCATCCGGAAACCCCACCCGCGCTCCAACGACCTCCTGAATGCGCCGTCGCATCAGCAGTCCTTGCAGTCTGAGCCTGAGCAGCAAAACCTGCTGCAGCGGCTGCATCAGGAGACAGTAGCCCCCACGGCACTTCTGGATACGCAACAAGAGCAGTGGCGGCAGCAGCAGAAACCTGCCGACGACTGCAGGGTGGGCGCGGGCTCCCCTAGCCAGGGCCAGTCATGCGCATCGGACTCAACATGTGCCGGCAGTCCTACGATGACCGACGACACGTCCATAGTCCTACCGGCAAAGGCTGCACCCGTCAGCTGCTGCACGTCTGATCCCTCCACAACGCGGCAGGCGCCATGTGAGAATGCGGCGCCGGTGTGCGAGCTGGTAAGTACTTGGTTTCGGGCCTCTCAGGATAGTTCGTAAGATTCGGCCAAATCGGGCTTCTCTAAAGGGTCCTGTCCTAAAAGCGTAGTGGTGATCCTTGTTGCCACTACGACACTCGAGTGCAGCAACTTACGTTGAGTCCCGTTACTGTTCATGCAGAATTCCAAGCTGCTGACCAGATACAAGGCCGCCGCACTAGAGTCCATGACGCCGACCGAGCCCTGCAAGCGCTCACGTCGTGCTGTGAGCGAGCGCGGTAGTGTAGACCCGTATGCGGAGCTGCACGCCGGTATTGACTTGCTGCTTGCAGCGCACGTGACGCTGTGCCAGCTGGAGGAGGGCCGGCCCAAGCGTACTAGGGTGCAGAAATCGTACTCCACCTGAGGTTCACGGGGTGACGCTGCATGGCCGTGCTTGGGGCTTTGCCTTTGTTCAATCGTACACTGTCTTAAGACGCGTAGGTAGAGAGCATGTGCATGCCGCATCGGTTTATACCACGCATGTGCCTCCATAGATGCCTTAAACTGATCTACTACACGCCTAGAAGCAAGCACGCGCCACTACACGTGGCTTCATAAGTCGCAAGGACGACAGTGCACCGGGATGTGTTTCACTTATTTTTTCAATGGTTGAATGAAACAACAGACTCTTACAACTCTGTTGAGACCTATCTTGGTTTTTCGTTGTAAAGTCAAAGTGCAAAACCTGCAAGTCATATGTGCAAAAGAGTATGTCGCATAGTAGGCCTGTTAACGCGGATGGCCCTGGCCTTGCAATCTTGAGCTCTAACCTAAACCGCAGTTCAGCAACTTCCTGCCTCCCCTACCGCCCTGCGCACTTGGCGACGTACATACAATTTTTAAGACCCCCCCACGCTGATAAACAAGGAGGCCTTAGGGAACGCTACCATGCAAACCCCTTCACTGTGGTGAAGCCCTAAAACTACTAGTCCTCAGCCCCCTAGGATAACAACAGACGGGCATCGACCAAAACACGTAGCATCGCATCAATACCAAAAGCAACACTGCGCGCATGCGGCAACATATGCGCTAAGTGACTCCTAAGGAAGCTCCAGCGGTGTGCTGTCCTGCTGCCACACTCAGTCTTCATTCCCGAGCCCCTCTGAACGCGACGTACCCATCGCTAGCCGCTTAGTCGAAGGCCCACTGGTTCTCGCGGCGGACCTCCTCCTCCTCCTCCGGCGTAAAGTCGTTCTGAAACCGGGGAAAGGGTGTTGCAAGGGGGCAGAGTGAATGAAGCCACGCATTTAGGGCTGTTCGGGAGCAATTCTTCCAATGAGAGCATGAGTGTGACTGTAAGAGTGACGGAGGATATGCTCGGTGCACAAGGCATACCACGAAGACACGAGTCCCTCCAAGTACCCCAAATTCACTCCGAAGCAGGTAAGCTCCTTGCATGGGAGCCTGGCTGGACGCAAACAATTGATTGCACGGTGTGCAAGTCCGGACCCAGGCCGTGGCTTCGGGGTATCCTGGTCATGTCTTCAATGACGTGTCCACTCCCCATGCAAACCCCTTCGCACCTTGATGTTGAAGTGCTTCCGAATCTCCTCGGGTGTTTTCCCCTTGATCATTTGCGCTACTGTCTGGCACGTAAGGTCCAAGAGACCCTTGATGTTGAGGTAGTTAGCGGCCTGCGTGCGAAAAACGCGCGACTCAAGCTCCACCATTAATGCCACTAACGTTTCGCCAGACTGTAGCTTGCACAAACAGCATATCAAGTATTTGTTCGGCAAGTGAAAAGCCCGCGTTCTCACCAGGATGAGGTCGAACAAGGTCGCCTGGTCGACCTTCACAAACTCCTCGTCCCACCGCTTAACGTCCTCCTCTGACTTCGCGGGCTTTTCGTCTGCGCCCTTCTTCTCCGCCTCTACATGGTACTTGCTATACTCAATTACTTTGGCCAAGATCCGCCCAGAGACGTTCGGGAGGGGAATCGCGTCATCCGTTCCCGCGTCCTCCACAAGGTTCTTAACTGTCTGGGACTGGAAAGCAACGTCCTCATCTACCTCGAACATTTGAGCGTCCGAGCTCATAAGCTTAACCTTTTGTGCGGACATTTTCGCAAATTTACTGATACGCTACCTCGCAACGTGAGGATATACTATGAAAAGGGCCTCGAGGCAAGATGGAAGCTAGTAGAATCGCGCCGACGAAATGTACGACGGAAGGGCCTTTCAATTTGCGCAAACTCGCCATTGCACTCATAACCGTTGAACTTTTGTGTTACAAGTGTGTTACCTTCAAGAGTTATCCTTTATAGTGTTGTATTCCTGCAGCGCTTAGTAGGTTCTCTCTTGCCTCGGCGCGCTCGCGCCGCACTGCCTTGTCGGACTGCTCTTGCGTCACCCGTATGACTGGGTTAAATATCTAAGCTGCTAACCACCAGGCGGGAAGCCTCCGCTCAATGCCTAGCTTGCCAACTGCTCTCCCGTACAATTCGAATGCATAACCCTTGCGGAGATTGTGGAGGTTTGCTTTCCACGTATCCCCTCCCCACAGCTCCATTATCATGAGGAGGCCTGTCTGACACAACGTGCACTTAGGTTGCGTGTCACAGTTGACCCAGATCACCTGGGATTCCCGTTCTCACCCCTGCTGCACCTGACCACCTACCGGGTACTGGTTATTGTCGATGTGCGCTCGTGTGCTGCCTCGTCACGTGTCGCAGCTGTTCCGCCCCACCTTGAGCAGGTTTGAGGAGCTGTATATGCTGGTGGCGTGATGGGGTCGGTGCAGGTGGAGGCGGTCAGGGTGGAGCAGGAAGGGTCCAACCCCGAAGGAGAGCGGCTCAGGGCGGGGGTTGGGGAGAAACCCAGGAGAAACCACTTATTTGTAATAGGAACACCACAACTGAGGGCACCACAACTGAGGGCTGGGCAGTAGGGAGATGGCCGGGCGCTGGCGAGAGCAAAGGAGCCTGGGATACGGTCACGCATGGGGAAGAGATGGTCAAGAGGCTGGCGGGACCTAGCTACGGCACAGATGGCATACCGGTAAATGCGGCAAATGCGTACCGGTATGTTCCCACGCATTTGTTGCCGACCAAGCAATAGCACCACCAAGCTGCGTGCTAGCGCACCCGCCCAAATACTCCGGGGCAATGTGCCACACACGGTGCAACATGCCATAGCAAGCGGTAAACCCTGACAGCCCAAACCGAATTACTCCCTCAGAACCTGGTAATAAGCGAGGCTTGGGCCTTCCCCACGGGTCAGGACCATAGAGGAACCCCAAGCTTAGTAAACATTTCCACATGCAACCAAAGCATTTTGTGCTTCCGAGACAAGCAACTGCTTCGCAGACAAACGCTTTGCAGGCAAATGTCTTTGCGCGGGCTCTGACTTGCTTCACCATACCTCATATCGCAAAGCACATTCTTCGGTTGGAAGGGTGTGGATTAGGGTTTCGACAGACTATACATGCTCCACAAAGAGAAACGCCTGACCGCCTTTGCAGGCCGGTGCGCCATACATGCTTCTAGCCATGGTAGCCAACCAGAGCATGTGCTACCTCAATTGGCCTGGCCCCATTACGGTCGTCAGCATTGTCCCGCATAATGCATAGCAGCCAGCTTACGCTTACGCCTGATACTGGTATTGGTCGGGTACCTTGTCCTTCGGCCTGGGATCGGTGACGTGGGCACCGTACAACTTTGTTGCAACACCATGATTATATGCTTATCACAACATTCAAGGTTACCAAGTAAGGGCTTTCTAGTTTGTGGCCTACCCCTGAGCAGAGGTTGTCTGCGGCAAGGCCCCTGCTTGCCGCGGCAGCGCAGGTAGCTGCTAACTCGACGAGTAAGCCGCAGAGTGGCTTCAAGTTGCTTTATAGCCTTCATACATTACAGCTTACTGGAATCACCTGTCATAGGGTTAGCGCGACTTGTCAGCCTTCAAGCAACTCCGCCAAGTACGCTCACAGACAGCTTTCCGGTACAACGTCCTGTGTACTCTTGAGCGCCAACACATTAGTACCGCTACATACAGAGACACATGGAGGCCAAACGGGTATGCATCGGCTAGGGTTGCTAGTAGGAAAGAGTCCAACCTTGGTGTGTACTGTCTTTCCATCGTCCCAATGTACGTGTACCAGGCTAGATGCACTTTGGAGGCAATGCATTACCTATCTGCTTCGCGCGGGCGTGCGGTGATCGCTTATCCAGCTTAAATGCATACGCAAGAACCCTGCCATGAAAGAAGGCCGTCAACTCCCTGATGACGGGCCTTCCTGGTTGCTTGCAGGAAATATCTGGCTTCTTCCTCTCTGCGGAAAAGTTCGCATCGCATGTTGCGGCGATCGCCAGCCCCGACTGCACAACCAAACGTTTGCGCCTCTTCCACAATGAACCCCACCACACATCCGCTGTGGTCCAAGCGCTCACACACAATACCTCAGTCACATCCCTGGACATTTTTGAGCTGGACTCTGCGGCCGCTACAACTCTGGCCTCCGTCCTCTCACCCGACATGCCACCCATTACAAGCCTCGCCGTACACCACCTGCACGACCACGAAGCCGTGTGCCGCCTCGCTCAAGGCATTGCAGCCAACCGCAACCTTAAGGAGCTGCACTTCTCACAACTAAACGCTCGCGGCGTAACCGCGCTGGCCGAGGCGCTGGCGGCGTGGGCCACATCCCCTTCCACCCTGACTTCTCCTGCCGCCTCAGCGTCTGCTTCCTTGCAGCCACGTACAACAACGGCAACCCAGGATACCAACCAGCAACCGCAGCTCGCGCGTTTGCAGCTGCTGCGGCTGGAGAAGTGCCTGGTGAACGCGGGCGCGGCGGCAGCGCTGGCCGCTGCTCTGGGTCCGCAGGCCGCAGCTCTGGAGCGGCTGCAGGTGGTGGAGTGCGACCTGGCGGATGCGGCTGCTGCGGCGCTGCTGGGCGCCCCCGAGTGGGGAGCGCTGGCGGGGGCGCACGTGCTGAGCTGCTTGGACCTCACCTCATGCGGTGTGGGCGTGCAGGGTGAGGAGGGTGCTGTCATTGGGCGCATAGGGCTGCTATGTCACGCTTAACGGTTGGGACCTCGGGGATTAGTAAGTCGTGCGTGCAATGTGTACGTATCTCTATCCGAGATATGGCTAATAGCAATTTTGGATACTCTCTCTCTGCCTCTTTACGCTTCTCGCCCCTCCCGCATCCCCCTCCCGCAGGTGCCGCCCTCCTCGGCCGCTTCCTGGCCACCTCCCGCAGCCTGCACACCCTCAACCTCGCCAACAACAAGAACCTGGGTTGCGCCGGCGTCACCGCCCTGCTGCAAGGCCTGCCCGCCAACACCTCCCTCACCCGCCTGGACCTATCCTGCTGCGGCATCGCCACGCAAGGGGTGCAGGCCCTGGCGGCGGCGCTGCGGCCGCAGGCTGCGCCCCCAAGCGCGGACGCCGACGCATCCCACAACGCCCCATCTTCGGAGGCTGCGCCGCCCCCGACGCATCCGCTGCAACACCTGGTGCTGAGCGGCAACTCCGCGGGGGCTGCTGGGCTGCTGGCGCTGCTGCGCGCCATGTCGGGTCCACAGCCCTGCAGGCTGCGGACGCTGCAACTCGACCGAAACCACATCCGCGGTGTGGAGCTGGCGGAGGCGCTGGGCGTCGCGGCGGCGGCGGAGGCGGCAGGGCCGTACAAGACCACCACGACGGCGCCGCCGCCCGCTGTTGCGCCGACGTCGACGGAGGTGCTGCGAGTGACGGCGCCGCTGGAGCTGCTGTCGCTGGCGGGTAACGCGCTGTACGACACAGGCGTGACGGCGCTGGCGGCGTGCCTGGCGGAGGCGCCCTGCCTGGAGCAGCTGGACCTCCGGGAGAACGGCATCGCGGACGCCGGCGTCACGGCGCTGCTGCCGCTGCTGGCGCCCGCCCGCAACGGCTCCGCCGTTGCAAGTGGTGGTGCGGCGGCGCCTCCTCCGCTTGCCGGGCTGCAAGGTCTGCTGCTCGACGGCAACCGGGTGCACAACGCGGGTGCGCAGATGCTGCTGGCGGCGGTGACGGCGGCTCCGGGGCTTTGGCGGTTCTCCGTGGAGGCGAACAAGATGACGGGTGAGGGCTGGGGGGGATTGGACACCTGCTAGAGTAGCGCTTTGGTGCCTAGGATCTCTCTTTGTCTCAATGCGGCGCCCCCTCCTTGATGAGATACTACGGTAGATGCGATGAGCGTAGAGCGACGCCATGTGTGCTCCTCCCTCCTGTCCTCTGCTCCTCCGCCCTCCTCCTCCCCCGCTTACCGCTGCCCCTGCTGCCGTCTGCCCCCTGCGCAGACCCCGGCTTGCGCCTGTCGCTGGCGCAGCTCGGCCAGATGCGCGCCGCGCGGCACTCGCAGCTGGTGGCCCTGGGTCGCCAGTACTCCGCATCCTCCTCGTCCTCCTCCTCGGGGGCGTCGGAGGACGCGGCAGGACGCCGCGGCAGCGGAGGCGGAGCCGGCGGGAGGGGTTCTGGCGGTGGCGCCGGCGGCGGCAGTGGCGGCGCTGGCGACACCGCTAGCAGCGGAGGCGGCAGTGGTGGTGGTGGTAAGAAGGAGGCGGGTGGCAGGGGCGGTGGTAATGGTGATGGTGGCGACGGCGGCGGCAAGCAGGAGGGCGGGGCGACGTCTTCCTCGCCCATGGACACCGAGGAGGGCCCGCCGGCGGTCCAACACAGCTCAGGCTCCTGCACCCAGCAGCGTCAACATACCGGACAGCCCCCTGCTCCTTCTCACGGCTACTGCCAGCAGCCGCACCCATCCCAGCAGCCGCAGCCGCACCCCCTGCAGTACCCCAAGCACCGTCTGGACGAGCGGCAGGGCAGCGAGGGAAGCAGCGACGGGGATGAGCAGCGGCTGCTGCAGCCGACGGCACGCAACGTAGCGGCACGGGGCGCCGCCGCTGGCGACGGCACCGGCGGCGCCGACATGGCGGCTGCGGTAACGCCGCCGCCGGGGTCAGCAGGTGTAGGCGAGGCCGCTGCTCCCGGGTCGCATGCTGGGTGGTACGCGACGGGACATGCTGGCGCTGTGGCGGGCCACGAGGGCGCAGGAACCACCACGTCCTCCTTCACCACCTCCTCTGCACCCGGCCGCGCCGACCGGTCCTCCCTGGACGGCTCCTCCCTCTCGTCCTCCTTCACCGCCGCCGTCAGCCCCCCCGGCAGCGCCGTCACCTGCGGCAGCCTGGGCTGCTCCTCAAGCCCCTTTGCCGCCGCGGCTGCGCAGCAGCAGCAGCAGCACCACCACCGCCAGCAGGACCAGCAGCTGCAGAAGCTGTACGACGCCGCAGTCGCCGCCGCCAGCGCTACCACATGCGTGGAGGAGTCGCTGCGGACCCTGCTGTCTCGCAGCAGCTCCCCGCCCGGGGCAACTTGCATCGTCACGGCACTGCCGACGCAGTCGCAACAGGCCGCCGCCGCTACTGCAGATGCGCTGTCGGATATGTTTATGGGCGCGGGAGCGGGTGCGGCTGCGGGTGCTGGTAACAAGCGGATCAGCTGGGAGGGTGAGTCCAAGGTCGCGGCGCCTGCTGCAGCTGCTACTGCCAGCACGCCTCCACCGCGCCCGCAGCAGCTGCTGCCCGCGCACCGCCGGCCGCGTTACAAGCCGCTGACGCCGGAGCAGCAGAGGCTGTTTGTGGACTTTTAATCTGACTAGGGAGGAGGAGGAGAGAAGGGAGGAGGAGGGGTTAAAGAGGAGAACACGAAACCTGAAGCTCCCAATGCCTGAAATGGACCCCAGGCACCACCTGACACCAGCGGAGAGGGGAGAGGACACATGGACGGTGGGAAAGGTGGGCATTACATCGGCTGGGGCCCCATCGGGTCGGTACTGATTGTAAAGGAGGTTGTAACAAATCTGTTTGTGCTAGGATATGGGAGGACGTTGGCAGCCCTTGGCATTGATTTTGTGGGATTGAGGATAGCGGGGCTTATTGTGCGGTTTGAGGAAGCGCGGGTGTAACTTTAACTATTGACGAGGAGGTGGGGTGGGTGTAACAATTTGTGCGGTGTGTCGTGAGAATGGGGCTCTTTGCAACTAGTCAAGTTGTGTGCTGGATGGTCGGAGACGCCAAGATATCCGCCGGACTTACTACTACAGTTTGCAAAGGCCACACGGCATACTAGCTTACGAGGAAGGCGGGCTGCTAGTACGGTGGGGGCCGGCCCGCCAGCCGCTGTTTGGATCTGTCGGTCTGGGTGCAGGGTGGGCGGCGGCTGAGGGTTGTAAGGTAGGGTGCTTCATGTGTTTTGGCAGGAAGACTTAGAGTAGTTGCATGTCATGGGGGTGCTTGGTATTGCGTCTAGTTGGGTAGTGCTTGCTTGGAATAGCTTGGATTTAGGAGCGTTTGGTTACCAGTATACCGGTATAGAGCTGTTTTGCATTTGATCTTTGTGGTGCACGTCCGTGTGTCGCTTGGTTGGTTGGGTTGCAAATGCATGCCTTTTGTCTATTGTGCCTTGGCTCCATAACGGAAGTTCTGTACACCCTAGATACCTTTAGCGTCAGTTGTAGTGTGTATGCCAGCGAAGTGCATGTGTCAGTAGCGGCATGTTGGCGGCTGCAATCGCTTGCGGCGTTGCTTGCGGCGATGAGCGAGACCATTCATTTCAAGAGACACCGCCATCGAAACACATTTCTTCCTATTCTTGCGTGTTCTCGCCCTGGTGTCTGATTTGTTTGCCAGGCAGCAAGGACCCGTGGAGGCAAACGTCGTCTGCAGTCGTTTGCAATAAGAGTGCGTCTTGCGTCCTTCCTAGCAAGGTGTGACTGTCCGTTAGAGGAGGATTCCTTCTAGACGATTGAGACAAGGCGTGAGGCAAGGTTGCTGCTTGAAGGAGAGGGGATGGTTAGGCGGTGGTGCGGTAAAACGTGTGAGGGTGGTCGAGCATGCGGGACCATTATAGGCAGTCGAGTCCCTGTGATGTCGCGTCGTCAGGGGCCGGCAGACGCGGAGTTGGATGGAGGGGCATCAGGTGCCTGTTGCATATGTCAGCTGAGGGCACGCGAGGGCAGGTACCACTTTCCAACTCGGCGTTCATCGGTACCGTACTCGCACAGATGTGTCATGTGGGATGTGGCTACATCGGCTCCTCGTATCATATATATGTGCCAGCAGAGGGAGAGCCGGGCATGCCATGCGTCGGGAGGGCGTGACGGTCAAAGGAACAGAGGGGTTGCGCGAATCTGGAAAGGTGAGAAAGGTGGGAAGTGAGAGGGAATGCTGGCCTCGGTTGTTTCATGGCCTGGGAAGGGGCTGTCGGAGGTTTGGACGCCCGTTTGGCTGCTTGTGCTGTGCGTGTGCTGTGGCACAGACCCACGGGTCATTGCTGGTCTTATTCTACGTTGAGGATGGTATTGTGTTGCAATCGTTTAATACGACATAGCTTGCTGTAGCAGCAGTATTGTAGAAGGTGCCGTGGAAATAACTAGCTTCGTGCAAGGCTCTCACGCGATGCGTTTGCTGTATCTGGGGATGGTAACCATTCATGCGCGGTGATCTGGGGTTGAAGACAGCATGCGGTACAGGTGGGTGCATAGGAGCACAGTGAGGACGCCTGAAGTGGAAATATGGTTTTGTCGTCATTCCCGGTTTCAGTTCTGGTTACAATAGTTGTCAGTTGCGTGTAGTCATGGCTGAAAAGCCAGTAGCCGTAAGCTTTCCCTGGTGTGTTCCGGTATGATGCCAAGCGGCAGGGCATCTTTGCGTTTGCGGCTGCATGCTGAAGGTGAATGTAAGCCAAGATGCCCTTGTTGTGAGGCACACGTGTACTACTAACTGAACGAAGGTAATGTTGTTTGAGTGCTTAGGCCGTGTGTATTAGCGAGATGTGGCGTTGAATGCGTTAGAAGAGGGTCCTGTAATAGCTGTGCGCTGCACTATAACTGCAAATCAGGTAGGATCAGGAGCACTACAACTGTATACAATGTAACCCTGGACAACACTCTGTTGGCACTTATTCCAAGCACCCATTGCTGCACACGGTAAATGCTATTATGATACAGACCGCTAGCCTCACTCCTTTCTCCCATGCACAGTGCATGCACAGTTCCATCATAGAATACACGCCCAGCTACGGCATTAATTCACAAGTGGTTTCGCCAGGTACGCAACTTCACAGACTTTCACGCACAATCATCGCCTCCACTGGGCCATATACGTGACCTGAAAATTAGCCCATCCAGTTCAATGCACCACCATCTAGCCAGCCCTGCCGCACACCGCCCTTATCACGGGGTGTCGTCCTTCGTCACGCTTCGTTTCAACAGCCAAGATCACAACGCGCGGCACTAAAAGCATGTACCGTACATCATACGTACCGCACTGTCACCGACATAATGAAGGCATTCTAGACAAGTACAACCGACAAGTGTACAATCGACAGTGTACAATCGACAAACAAGATTGACAGGATCACCAGTAAAATAACTAGCATGGAACACAAGCAGCAAGGAAAGCACCCATACCACGCAGTGGCGCCAGGGGTCCTGCAGATTGCACCGTACGGCAGTCACTCCTCGCACACACGCACACTTGCATCAGCCGTTGTACACACGCACGCATTCAAGCCCTCTCCTATCCTGTCCATCCACCCTTTGCCTCAGCCTCCTCACGTCGGGAAACCGGGTTTCCCACTTCGTCCCAACCCCCCTCCCTTTTCTCCATCACCCCACCCTCCACAGTGCCCGCACCGCCCCCGCCACACCCCCCACCACGAACCCCAGCAGCCCCCGCGCCACCCCCAGCGGGATGGGCTGCAGGTGCGGCGGCTGCGGCACCGCCGGGCCCTGCAGCGGCGCGCGATACAGCGCCTTCTGCACCTCCTCCACCAGGTAGGGGTTGCTCACCAGCCCCAGCCCCGACCCCACCTCCGCCAGGCTCTGCCCCCCCGCGAATGCGCCCCAGGTGCAGGGCCCCACCGTGAAGGACATGGCGGACCAGGAGTTGACTGCTACCACCCCGTACCGCAGCTGGTCAAGGGCCTGCGGAGGGACAGGGGGGAAATCAGTAACGGTATCAGGAGCAATGAACCAGTAAAAAGAGAGAGGGGGGACAGGCTGGTTGTTGCTTGTTGTGTAGCTCATCAGCTCTGCCAGTTGCTCCACGTAGTCAGCATCACCAAACAAGTCCTGCGATGGGTAGCAGTGGGTCTCCCCCGCTCGACCCCCCTCGACCCGCACCTTCTGCACCTCCATGGGGTGCTCCCTCTCTAGCTGCGGGTGCAGCACCAGGCTGCAGCTCAGGCTGCCCCATAGGCACTCGTTGGCGAAGCGGGTGGCGGCGGACAGGAAGTGCGGGGCGCCGCGGGTGGGCAGCCGGACAACCGTAAGCACGGGGGCGAAGGGCTCGACCTGGGGTGAGGGTGCGGAGGGCGGTGGGTGAGGAGGGCGGGATAAGGGGTGTACCGGTAGAAAGGAGCGCCACAGTGTTAAGGCATGAACCTGAATGGGTGGTTAGCCTGGTTTTCCTCAGAAGCGGGCATGTGATGACCCCCCCACGATGAGCTGCTGACACCCACATTGAAGGCGTACTCGGTCTTGGGGTCGGCGGGGAGTTCATCCAGGACGTTCAGGAGGAAGGGCAGCGGAGGACCCATGGGTCGGCTAGTGGGCCGCGCGGGCGCCTCAATCACCTCGGACTTGGGGTAGGCAGCCTTGAACGCCTCGTACCTGTACGGCACAACATGTATGAAACCCACACGCATGTCAATTCGCACGCCCCCCTCCTTCCAGTTCTCGCCCGCCTCCCCCCGTCCACAGGATATGAGAGCCTTGTCGCCAGGGTTAGTCACCAGGGTTTCTTCCCGTCCACCTCCTCTTCCCCATGCCCCGCCTCCTCACCGCTCCCTAATGCCCGGGTAGTACGGCGGCTCCTGCGGTGTCGTACGCAGCACCTGCCGTACCTCCTGCAGGAACTCCCCCGCCTGCTCCCAGTCGCCCGGCAGCACCAGCACCTTGGCGCTGTTGCAGTTGCAGCCGGCGTTGGAGGTGGCGGCCAGCACCAGCACCCGCGCCTGAGCGGCCAGCTGCGCGGGGGTGAAGCGCGCGGGGGCGAGCAGCCAGGGGGTCACACAGCCCAGCTCGCTGGTGACGGGGACCTGCATGGGGGAGCGGGGAGGGTGAGGGGGGGCAGGGAGGGGGGGCAGGGGAAGGGGGAAATAGGTGAGTGCAAGAGAGGCACATGTGAAGGGCGAGGTGTGCGAGGCCCAGTGCGTGTGGTGCCTGAGGTCGGGGTCAGGACTACAAGAGATGGACTATGAGAGGTAAGACCGGCGTTTCCTGGACGGCAATCTAGACAAGTACGCCGCCTCCAGCCTGTACGGCTGCCGTACGGCATCATGTGTCGTACACTGTCGCACATGGCGCCTACCTTTAGCAGCGGGTCGTTGTCGCGGCGGCGGCGGCGCTGCTCCTCCGGGGTGGGGCCCCACACGATTGCGTCATGGGTGGCGGTGCCGCCTGGGGTGGGGTGGGGATGTGAAACAATGAAATAGGGGTTGGGTGAGGGAAAGGAGGGCATGCCAGGGTTCGGAATGGCAAAGGAACACACCGCAAGGGCAATGTGGATAGAGGAACAAAAGATGCCGCAGGTTCATGCCCCTCCCTCCCCCGGTCCGCCAAACCCCTCCAGCTGCCACATCGCCATCCTCCCCACCGTCCTGCTTATGTACTTGCAAGCTTGTAGCTTTGCCCTTCCCTTCACGCCCCCAGCTTCTTTTTCTTCCTCCTCCTGTCCTACCCGTCATGTGTACGGCGCCCACCCCCGGGTGGTGCAGCAGCCGCCGGGTGAGTTGCGGGGAGGGCAGGTGCAGGCTGCGCACGTAGCCGGCCTGGGAGGGTGCGGGGGTGCGGAGGTGAGGAGGGGGAGAGGGACAAGGCCCGAGAGGGAGGATGTGTGTTGTGGGTGGGGAGTCGAGCGGGGCCGAAGGAAAGGGTTCGGGTTTTAGCGGAGTGGAGAACGTGCCTATCGCACCTCCCTGGCCTTACCCACCCTGCAGCCCTCCTCCTCCCCCTGCCTCCCCACCCCACCCCGCCCCCCCCCCCCGCACCCTCACCTCCACCAGCGGCGCCAGCACCTGGTCCGCCTCCCGCTGCCAGGCCGCCATGAGCGGGTGCGGCTTGAGCGCCACCACCTGGCCGCGCTCGAACAGGCACACCAGCACGTCCTTCAGAGCAAGGAAACCCTGAGGGCGGGGGAGGGAGGAGGAAGGATATACATTTGAGGAACAGGGAGGTGGGTCAGCGGTATAATTAGTACTCGTTACCAAGTAACCGCACCAGAACGCCACACACCGCAGCACGAGCAGCAGCAGCAACAATTACGCGCAGCCCAAGGCGCAGGCTTACGTGGTTGCCAGCTCCCAGTACGACACAGATGCAGCCCTGCTGGCCAGTGATCTTCCCCTCTTTGTCGTACATCTCCCCCTGCCGTACAGTCTCCTCTCCCGGCTGCAGCACCAGCTCCACGGTGACCCCCGGCTGTAGCAGACTGCAGCGGTCGTACAAGGTCAGCGGGAACACCTGGAACCAGTGGAGGCGTGGGATGAGGCGGAAAGAGGCGGAAGGAAGAGGAGGGAGGATGAGTTGCAGTGAAGGGATTGCAGTGGAGATGCGGTGTGGAGGAGAGGGTGAACTCGCGGAGCGGTAGGAGTTCCGGTAGAGCAGCTGAGGTTACCGGTAGCGAGGACCGCAGGGTCAATAATAACAGTTTGACCGCTTGTCAGGGTGGCCCAGGTGTGCACCTCCCTCCCACGTGCGCATGCGGTATTGAAGGGTATGTCGCCATGTCCCCACCAACACCGCACCGCTCTCCCTCCTTGCTACCCAGTGCGGAATATTCATCGGCTCTCCCAACCCCAAACCGCAAACCCAAACCCCAAAACATGGCCGACCCAAATGGCAGCTGACCCACATCGCTCACCTGTACGGCTTTCTGGCCGCTGCTTGTCGTACGGCAGGGAAGCGCGGGCGGCTTCCCGGTAGCCTGGATGCTCCTGAGGGTGTGCAGCAGCTTGTGGATGTAGACCGCAGGCAGGGCGACCGAGGTGAGCATCTCGCCGACTATGCTGGCCTGTGCGGGTGAACAGCGGTAGTTGCAATCAGTTGTCCATTACCAGAGTTGATGGGGATTGCGACGAGGAGGGTTCATCTGTGTGGGAACCGCGGGGTTTTGGAGAATTCCACTTTTAAGCCTTCTTGTGCAGCTGCGGTTTCTTGCTGGCTACTTGCCTCGTCTGCTCCGCCCTTAACCTCTGCCCCAGCGCGCCCTAAAGCCACCATCTTCCGTGCTAAGCGGTCACGAACAGCCTACATGGATAGGTTATAAGGCCAGTTAGCGGGCTTGAGATAAATTTCGGTAGTAGGGTTGAGACACATTATGACATGGCGCTGGCTCTTACTTCCAAAAGCGCAATCTTCTTCGATATGGGCAATTGCATCCATTCATCTTTCTTCTTCTGAAATTCTGATATGGCCCTATCAATTTCAGCAGCTGGTCCTGCGTCAGCGTCGGTAACTACAGTCATTGCTGCGGGAAAAGTCAGGGATTAACTAGCTGCTGGGAAAGAACACGAACAGACAGCTAGCAACCGACAACCAGCTTGAAACAATCGTGCCTTGCTCCAGGAAGCGGTTACATTATATAGGTACGGCAGCTGCATGTGTTGTACAGTATTTAAATAACGATCACTGCGGATTGCCAAGGATGGATCCACGCTCATCCCGTTTACAAGATTAGTTCCCTCATTGCAGCAGTCCTCCAGTGCTCTAGTGGACGACAGCTGGCGAGAAAGCATGCCATACGCTTACTACAGGAGCGGTATAAGCGGGAGCGCCCCGTCCTATCAAGTTCTGTGCCACTTTTTTGCGCGCGCGGCTTCCCGTACTCCCAATGTACAAGAGATGGCTTAGCAAAACGCAGTACTGCAGGATACACTGAGCTGTTGCAGAACAGGATTATGTCGTCACGTTGAGCAAGAATGTGCAGCTTTTGACAATCCTTTAAACCACCCATCCTCACCACCTGCAAGTGGGAAACCCTGCAAACCCATGGGCTCTGTTGCCGTACTCCCATGAGGACCACGTCTTTGTACGGCGTTCTGGTGCAGCATACACGGGTCATTGTGCACACACCATCCATGATCCATCCAGGGTTTGGAAGGCGTCAAACTACGCCTGCAGAACAGCATCTCCTAAACACAGGATGCACATCCGTGCGCGAATGTTCTCGAATACAGGATTATCCGACAGCCAGCAAGGCCAGTATCCTACAAGGACTTCAGTGTGGGAGCTAACGGCAAGCTACTCTTCCGCACCACCGAGACCAAACCACTGAACATACCCAACAAACCCCATTTGCAGCCTGAAGCCACACTGTCTAACACTGTAACACAGCAGTCCACGTACAACAGCACACTCAGTACGAAGCAGCGAAACCGCGCCAGCAAAGCTGAACTTCTTGCACTTGTATGTTGAAAAGCAAATAATGCGTCATGTTTACACATGGCCACATGGAAACGTCATGAACCCATTTCAGGTCGACATCTACGTAAACGTTTTACTGGTCAAATAGTTAGGTATGCCTTCTTAAGGAAGCATCTAGCCAATACCGCATATAGAAACTTCTACGCAATTGTTCCTGTCACTACGTGTGTGGTGGAATCCGCAACCCCGATCGCCACTGGTACTGCACTACCCTAACTGCACATGCCATGCGTGTGGCATGCGCTCTGTGGAGGCATCTGCGTAAACACAGCTGCTGCTGCCGCCGCTGCAAATGCGTTTTCAGCGCGACGCCTGACACATCCGCTCTCCATATGCCTGCTGCGCAGCGCCCTCCAAGCCCTAGAGCTCCTGCTAGCACCTTCGGCCGCAATACCCCTGCATGCATCATCCCTCGTTCTTCTCCGCCCCATCCTCCAGCTACTCCACGTCCATATCCATTCCCTCCGTCTCCACTCATCTCGCTGCCAATATCAAACCCGTTCCGCTCCTCGAAAGTGCAGCTCATCCCGGGTTAGTAGCGGCTCCCGCTCCGCCGCCGCCGCCATCGTCGGGCCCTTGCCGCCCTCTACCGTCTTCACCTGCACCGACGCCGCCGCGGCCTTCGCGCGGCGTTTAGACTCCGAATACAGGAACACCCCCGCCACCGTAACCGCATAGCCACCCGCCCCCTGCACCGTCACGGTGTTCCGGAACACCATGACCGACACAATCGCCGCCACCACGCCCTTGGCGTTGCCCAGCACCTGCAACGTCAGCGCGCTCGTGTACTTGGTCACCAGGAAGTTGGTGAGGTTGACAAAGTACGCGAGGCAGCTGTTGCCGATCAGCCAGTATAGGAATCCCGGCGAGGTCTCCATAAGCGACGCCGCATGGCTCAGCGCTGTGGGCTCCAGCAGCAACGTGGTGGGCAGCAGCAGCAGCACCGACGTCCCAGACATGTAGAGCAGCAGGCTCATGGGATCGAGCTTCTCGGCGGGGTCCGTCATGAGCAGGGATTGAACCACGGACTTGAGGGCGCGCAAGGCGGTGGCGAGGATGCAGCAGGTGAAGCCGATGGCATTGAAGAGGGGCTCGCCGCCGCTGGCAATCACGACACCGCCCATAATGGGGATGAGGGAGTAGTAGGTGAGCGCAGACTCCTTTTGGCCTTGCATGAGGTAGGCCAGGATGGCGGTGAAGAAGGGCGTGGTGGCGCCTGAGGGGGGCCAGGAACGGGTGCGGATTGAAGGTTGAGAGGGGTGGGAACATGGGTTCGTGTGGCTGGATGAGGTGGGGGCGACTTCTTCGCAGCAGGAAAGGCAAGTAGAACCTTAGCCCGAAACGAGCAGGGGAAAGGCAGCGGGAAAGGTGTGGGGTATAAAGGGAAAGGCGTAGAGGCTGCTGGCGGACGGGATCATCGCGAGTAGGGCGGAATTTTAATGCAAGCAGTCATGCGTAACCCGCTCCATGTCACACCCCATCCGGCAGTACCCGCTGGTGGCTGTGGCGTCATACAAAAACCCCGCACCGCTCGCATCAAAGATGACCATGTGGGCCCCTCAATAGCGACACGCACCTATCGCTTGATTGAATGAAACCGGGATGAACTTCAAGCTGGCGTTGCCCAGCACGACTGACATGCAGAAAAACGTTGAAAGCCCAGCGATCTTGAGGAATTGCTGTCGAGACTTAATTTGTTTAGCTGGCATTAACTGAGAAACAGATGCCAGCAGCCCGATCAGAAATGATGCTAGCATATGACATAGCGTTAAAAACACCGGTTGACGGAAGCCTGTGCTTGAGAGAAGGTACTTGTTTAGTAGAAGCACTCCGATGTTGGAGGTATACCAGCTCAGGATGGCGAAGAAGGTGGCCAAGATAGAGGCCGAAGACATCGCGGTGCCTCCTGTACCCGACATCTGTGCTACTCTCTAAGCAACCTAGGTGTCGATGTTGGCTCCGGACGTTCCCTCGAGACAGGTATGTTGTCCAGGTAATAACGCCGGTCAAACCTAGGGGCTCCAAGGCATGGCTATTGTTCGTTTCTTTAACAAGTGGAACCAAAACCTTCACCTAGTATGATAAGCCCTGCCAAAGACCGCAGTTTTAAGCAGACCTGTACGGGCAAGACAGACTGACAGCGTGACAGGAGAACGGAAACCCATGCAAAGATTTCGCAGACCAGTACAGCAAAGTATCATATTCTGGGCAGGTTACGCACCTAGACTATTATCATATATTGTTCGCTTTCTGAGGGATGGCTCCTCCAAGGTAGGACCCATAGTCCAGGACGGGCCAGGACAGGACCCCAAGGCATTGGATTTCACGGAAGTTACCATACTGTAATTACCAAACAGGAAGTATATTTGCTCGAAAGCGTGATGATGGCGGGCTGGCTGATGTCGAGGACTGTTGCAAGAAAACAGGTCAGCCCAACAATGGACCTCTCCAATGCATAGGTTTTGCTAGTAGGCACTCACTCCATAGGAAACAATCTATTACTTATCTAGAACTTATCTAGATACGCCTTCCATGGCCAGCACATCAAGGCCACCAACTGCCAGAAACATTACACTTGGGACTTCAAAACTGCGGTGCTGCCAGCCATACTACGTCTGGGCTACCCTACTAGCGTCTACGAACTAGCCCAGCTCCCTCTTTACCACGCATCGTCAATCCGCTCCTTCACAGATTTCTTGCCATCCGTCAATGCCTCCTGCTGTTCCCTCTGCTGCTCGAGCATCTCCTTGTATTGCTCCTTAGGCACCTTCTTTACCCGGAACCAAGGCGACCCTGGGGGCGGCAGCATCAAGCAAGGCGGCGGCAGGAAACGCATTTGGTCAACGAATGAAGATCGACAAGTGCCTGACCCAGTCTCACGCACGCCGCCTCTCATCTCCCTGCGCCCCGGCCAGCTGCGCAAGCCGGGATGGCATCCTTCCGCAAAACTCGCGTTCCTCCTACTTACCCACCGCACCACCCATGCGGCATCCACCCACTGCCCTCCGAGCCCCGATCCCAGTTCGTTCCTTCCTCTTTCTCCGGCCAATCACAACACATGGAGGAGCCCTTCCCTCCTCCTTTCTTCGTCCCACTGCCAATCCTCTACTCTACCCTTCCACCTCATGGGTTGTTCTAGGTAGCTGCTCTGAAGCTGCCTGGTGCGTTCCAGCCCCCCACCCGCTCCCACCTGGCGCTTGGCTGGGCATGTACGGCTCCGTCTCCGGCTGCTTGAAGCGCCAGGAGGGGCTCTCCTGCAGGAAGGGGTCGCCGTCCATGATGTTGCGCCGCACCAGGTCCTCGCTGTCAGTCACGTGCTCCTCCCGGACCTGGGGGGGGGGGTGAAATAAACCGAAGGGGGGGAGGGGAGGGAGGGAGGGGCCGCAGCGGGGGATATAGATGGGTAGTCCGCACAGGAGCTGGAAGATTCGATCGCATGTACTACCGGTAGGGCGGCGGCTTAGCGGGGTTCAGCGCTCTTCGATAAGACGTCGCCCTCTCCCGCACCCGTCTCAACTACCGAACCCGATGGGCCGGGCAGCGGGCACTGGGCTCTTCCAGACACCAACTCCCTTGTCCCTACCCCTTTGTCCCTCCGACCCCCTCCAGACGCCCCCCCCGCCCACTGATGCAATCCATTGGTAGAGCCTACATGTCACACACTGCTAGGTGCTCCCTCCTCACCCCACCTTCCCCTTCAGCTACCCCGGTCAGGGTCGGTGTTTCCGCGGCTCACTTCACCTAATCCCCTTCACCCCCCGCCCCCCCGCGCACCTTGGGGAACTTCTTGAGGCTGCCCTTCACGTTGAACACCGCCTCCTCGCCGCCGATGATGTGGTCGATCAGCCCGTACTCGCGCGCCTCCAGCGGCGACATGTAGCGGTCGCGGTCGGTGTCCTCCTCGATGCGCGACAGCGGCTGGCCGGTGTAGTCGGCCATGATGCGGTTCAGGTTGGCCTTGTGGTACATGATCTCCTTGGCCTGGGGAGGGGAGGCGGGAGGGGAAGAGGAGGAGGGGGTGAGTTGTTAGGGGTGATGCAAGGGAATTTGACAATGCATGCGAACATGGCAGCAGTGGGGGGAAGGGAAGGGTGCAGCTGCGGCAGACCGGCACCCCAGGGGGTCGCAAAGCAGACCCAGACCCAGCGTCCCATTCGGTGCTCATTCCGCAGCAATCGGAGCGCCTTCTTTAGGAAAAGGAAGTCCGGGTCGCCTGCAGCGCACACGTGCGGCATATCCACCGAACTCTGTGCTTGCTGCTCCACCAGCAGCAGCGGCAGCGGCCCTCTGCCTAACAGAACCCAAGCGCGCCACCACAGCAGGCACCAGTGTACCAAGACACTGTTTCCCCCGTCATGCGCGCTACGCAAGGCAGCTGCGGACCTAGTCAGCTGCTCGCAGCAGGCGCTCCTGCACTCCTGGACAGGGCAGTGCAGGCGGCAGCGCCCCCCCCTGCGTTTCTGGTCCGGCGCGATACAGCCGCTCGCTGACCCGCGGGTCGAGGGTCGGCTGAAGGCCTTGCGGAGGACCCTACCCGAGCCCATGCACCGGTCATGAACCCAGGGGGGGCGCTGCCATGCCCCGGAACCAGCCGCCGCAAACCCCCCCTCCCACGGGTCTCACCGCATGCATCACCGCATGCATGTCACAGTCGCCCCTTTCCGGGACATGTGTAGGCGCCGGAAAGGGTTACGCGCGCAATGCCTTGCCTTCCCCTGGCCTGCCCATGTAAACCAACGGCGGGGTCGCTGTTAAGGGCAACGTTGCCCTTCCGCGGCTAGTCGCGGGGGCGAGGTCCTGTCACTCCCCCCCCCCCCGTCCCATCGTATCGGTAGGGAATGCTAACCAACACTTTGTCTTGTGGCACCCTGCCAACTCCTACCCCCATTGCTTTGCCCTAACTTGTGGCCTCCTATGGTTCGGTATGGTCTTTGACCTCCCGTCCCCATCCGGTGGTGTCTGGGTTGGGCGTCGGACATCGGGAGCGTAGGGCTCTTCCTTTACCTCCCAACCTCCATCGCGTGAAACCAGTTTAGTTAACGGGCAAGACGTCCGTCGTCTTAGGAAAGACGCACAGCATCCTCGTGCCACAGGGCCCAATCCCATCGCATCCTGAACAATCAAGGTCCATATACCTTTCCCCTTAGCCCCTCCCAAACTTCACCCAATGGCTCTTCATACGCCTTTTGTTTGCCCCCGCTTCCGCCTGCTTGGTTTGCCTAGCCGTTACAGTTGGCGTTCTGTTTGTGTCCCCCTCACCTGGATTTCGATGTCGACCGCCTGGCCGCTAGCGCCACCCAGGGGCTGGTGAATCATGATGCGGGCGTTGGGCATGCTGTTGCGCTTACCCCGCTTGCCCGCACCCAGCAGAAAGGCGCCCATGGAGGCAGCCAGGCCGAAGCAGTATGTCTGCACGTCGGCCCGGCAAAGCATCATCGCGTCGTAGATGCCCATGCCCGCGGTCACCGATCCACCTGCGGGCCAGAAATCCCGCAGGATTGGTTGATCAAATGGAATTTAAGCGCTTCGGGCTTGCCGAGGCTGCAATGAAGCGTTGCGTCTGAATAAGCTTGGAGGGTAATGGCATCCACGCACCCGGAGAGTTGATGAACATCTTTATGTCCTTAGTTGGATCTTGTGAGTCTAGTAGCAGCAATTGGCTGATGATCGCGTCTGCGCCAAAATCCTCCACGTCGCCGCCCAGAAAGACAACGCGCTGCCGCAGAAGTAGGCCAAACGGATCGCCCTGCATCTCCGCAGTCCTGGGTGCTACAATTGGCTGGGAGTTTGCTTGGATCCATGGCCGATCCCAGCCCTTAGGCCGCTGGCTAGCGTGGTCCGGGGTCCAGACTTGCGCCCGAACTCGCACTGCGCCCGCCCGTCGGCTTGGAGCCCTGCCCGTAAGTGGGCAGGAGCTATGTAGCCCGCCATGAAGGGCGGTCGCGACCATCGCTTTCCGTGATCAAGGCAAGCGTACTAACTAGTGGACGAAAGTGGAGTGGCGGCAGTCGACTGAGTCTATATGCCTACCGTCTCGTCAACAAAAGTATGGACAATGTATGGAAGCTAATTGTGTAAGGCAAAGGGGGAATTCTAGGGCAACCCTTGTTTGCGGATTGTCCTTCATGCTTGCCGATTACCCGACTGCCAATCCTCAAAACCTGGTTTGCTTTGCATATAATTCTTTCCACTTCATACAATTATGCCTGTTGTGTTAGTGCTTCGACGCACAAAGTTGGCAAGCTCAGAATAACGTCACAACTAAGCTTTTTGCCAGATACTCGGGCAGACCCTCGTTGGTACTCCATCGGTTATAGTTGGTAGACACAAAGTAGGGAAGGATCATCTGGCTGCAAAAAAGCGCTGCAAAAAACCAAACATTTTCGCGGGGCCTTCGGGCCCCGGCGAAACTCGTGAACACATTGATGGCTAGCAATGGCGTTGACTTTGCTGATGTGCGGGTAGGTCTGTCCTTGTAACTCCACCGAGGGTGCCAGTCGAATTACCAATCACAACGTTTTGGCGCCCTGTGCAGCGGCGGGTGGCGGCCTTCCGCAAGCCAGAGCTGCTTGAATGTCTGGAGCGTCTTGGTATGCGAAAGTCTGGCAATAAGCCTGAACTGCAGCAGCGGCTCCTGGACATCTTTGAGAACAGCTGCCATCTGTAAGTCTGTAGCGGCGCATCACCCCAATAGAACTCGCTGCAGTGAACCTTACCCACGCCCTCAGTGCTGTAAGGCACTCCGCAGCATCATCCAATACAGCAAGCTCCTGGGCTGCTTGCCGTGCCTGGCTACACCCCTACACGCCCTGCTTTGCTTTGGCCATGGCTCTAGCCCCTCCCCTGCCGCCCTCGCCTGCACTCCTCGTCCTGCACTCCTCCTCAAACACAAACCCTCGTGCCACCCCGCAACCCCCATCTCCTTCTCCTCCCCTTCCTCCGGTCCGCAGCGTTAGCAACGGCTACAACCACCGGGACATGTGGCGCGTCACCTCGGCGCAGCGCATCATAGAGGATGTGTACAACAAGGCCTGCAACGGGGCCGGAGCCGCCCCTGCAGCAGCTGCTGCTGCTGGTGGCAGTGCCGCTGCTGCTGCTGCTGCTGGTGGTGCCGCCGCAGCAGCAGCAGGAGGGGCTGGAGCAGCAGCAGCAGGCAGCGGACCCCATGCGGGCGCACCGGACGCCAAGCCGCGACAACCGCAGCAGCAGCAGCAACAGATCCCGGCTGCAGCCGCCCCCGCCCCCGCCAACCCCGTAGCCTCCGCGCTTCAATCCCTCCTCCGACAACCCCAGCACCAACCCAACCCCATGCCCACCACCGTCACCACCGCCGCCCCCGCACCCGGCGGCGCCCCCACCACCCAACCCAACCCGCGCTCCCTGCTTCCCCCCAGCCGCGCCGCCGCCGTCACCAACAGCACCATCCGCTGCACCTGCGGCGCCACCACGGGTCGGCCGCCGCTGGTGCAGTGCGCGGCGTGCGGTGTGTGGCAGCACCCGCAGTGCGCGGGACTGGCGCTGGGCGAGCGGCCGGCGGGGGGCGGTGAGTTCCACTGCGAGGTGTGTCGGGCGCTGTGGGCGGACCCGTTCTGGGCGGTGGAAGATGCGGATGTGACGCCGGTGATGCGGCTGTCGTCCACGGGGCGCAGCGTGCAGGTGCCGGTGAGGCGGGCGGGAGGGGGGGGAGGGAGGGAAGGGAGGGAAGAAGAATGCCCAATGTGTGGTGTGATAGTGGTAAACTAGCTGACAAGCCCTGATGGAAAATCCGTGAGGGAAGGGGGAGGGAGGGAAGGGGGAGGTTAGGAGGAGACGCAGGAGAGGATGAGGAAGGGAGTGTGGAAGGGGCCGTGCTGGGGAGCGCCAGGGTACCGGTGAACTAGGGAGGCGTGGGTAAGTGGGCGGAGGTCAGCTTGAGGCTTGAAGCCAGGTCATCACAGGCCGAGCCTCGCTCATGAGTCTCCCCAAACAATTCAACCCCCAACTCTCCTCTCGTGGTGTACCCCCAACCACCCACCTCTTGCAGGCCGGCGGCGGAACCCTGCACAAGGTTCGCAGTGTCGACCGCAGCTTCGCGTTGTCGCAGCAGCAGCACTCGCGGTTCAGGACGCGGGACAGCGACCGGCAGTTGCAGGTGGGGGGAGGGAGGGAAAAAGAAATCCCAATGTGTGGTGTGATAGGGAGGGAGGAAGAGGGAGGGGGCGGGTTGGCGGCGAGGGCGGAAAGGTCAGAGGAGGGTGATGGAGGAGGGCGGGGTGTGTGTGGGGTGTGGGCGGGGGGGACTCATGATGAAGGGCACCTGTGTTTCGACCTCTTGGGCGCAAGGAGGCTGGGGAGCAGGGGATGTCTGTTAGCCTGCCGGCATCCGCATGGATGTGTGGATTGGCTGCATCATAACTGGACACATTTGCCACGAGCCCCGACCTTACTTCCCGAGGAAGGTACCCGTCCGGTCCTCTCTTCGCCTTCCCATCCCACCTCCCTCCCCTCCCACCTTCCCCCTCGGATATGGGATATGGGATGGGGACTCCGTCGCTTCGCCTATCAAATACGTTTCCGCCCTCCCTCCCCCCCCAGCTGGCCTGCCTGCAGCTGAACGACCCGGTGTCCTTCCGCTTCCACTGGCCGCTTGGGGCGCAGCTGGAGGTGAACGGGGTGGCCTACCGAGTCACGGCGCGGAGCAGCACGCAGAAGCTGGGGGCGAACGGGCGGGACGAGCCGGCCAACATTGGGCAGCTGTGCTTTGCGGGTAGGGGGGTGGGCGGTGGGCGGGGCGGGAGGGGAAGGGGAAGGGGAGGGGAGGGGAAGGCCGGGGGCTTGGTGGGGACCGCTGGGGCCAGGAAGGGAGCTCCTGGAGTCATGTCAGGGGTAGTGGTGGGGTCGCGAATGGTTGGCATTCCCGCCTGTGTTTCTCGGGCCCTCCAACCCTCACGTTCGGCTCGCCCAACTCGGCTCCCTGCACCGGGAGCTTGCTACCCTTAGTTGGCCATTATCAGTTTTATCACCCAACACACTGGGTCTTCTTCTTCCCTTCTTCCCTCCCTCCCCTCCCTCCCCCCCAGGTCGCAACCGCGTGCTGATGACGTGCACCGACAACCAGCCGTACGTGCTGCTGGTGCTGCTGGCGCGGCGGCGCAGCCTAGCGGAGGTGCGGCAGCTCATGAGGCCGCAGCTGTCGCGGAGGGACGCGGTGGCGCGGGTGCAGCAGCAGGTGGGGGTGGGGGAAGGGGTGGGCAAAACACATATAATGAGACACTGACGAAGCAATTGACGAGCTGTGGGGTGGGCGGGGGGCGGGCAGTGGTTGCGGAGGGTAGGCGCAACGACTTGTAGGGTCCCACGGTGGGGCCTTTTGCCCTTATACGCGCTTGGTGAAAGGGGTTGCGCAATGCATGCCTGCGATGGAGGTGGCGGTGGTGGTGGCGGTGGTGGTGGGAATATCAACAACTCGTTAAGCCGCATCCGACCTTCACCCCTCACCCTCTCTCCCTTCCTCTCATTTCCCCTCATTTTTTCTCCCCCCCTCCCAGCTCCGAGGTGACGACGATGACGAGCTGGAGACGGGCACCACGGTGCTGTCGCTGCGCTGCCCGCTGCTGGGCTCGCGCGTGCGCACCCCCGCTCGGTTCACCAGCGTGCCGGGTCTGGCTTGCTTCGACCTGCAGGCCTTCCTGGAGTCGGCGCGCAGCACCCGCAAGTGGCAGTGCCCGCACAGCATGGCGCACTGCTCAGTCAGCTCGCTGCAGGTGGGGAAAGAAAGGAATTTCGATGTGTGGTGTGAGGGGGGGAGGGGAGGGATGTGGGGTGGGGTGGGGAGGTCAAAGCCAGGAAGGACGGTAGGGCTGGCGTGCTAGGGAAGGCGCGCTAGGGACTCTGTGCTGCGATGCTGACAAATGACGCTAATTGAGGTTGAGCCTCTTCTTATCCCGCTTGACCGCCTACCTACCCACCGCACGCCTCCATTCCTGCCCCTCCCCCCCAGATCGACACCTACATGCAGCGGATCGTGGCAGCGCTTGCTGACACGGATGTGACGGAGGTGGAGGTGGCGGCGGACGGCTCCTGGCGACCCGCCGGGTCACAGGAGCGCTTCTTCAGCATCGAGGAGGACAACCCGCTGGCATCGGTGGCAGGGGGCAGGGGGCGGAGCGGCGAGGGGGGAGCGGGCGGTGGCGGGGGAGGAGGGGGAGAGGGTGGGGGGGATAGTGAGGATGAGGAGGAGGAGGACGAGGAGGAGGAGCTCAGGCGGGCTGCGGCGGCGGTGGCGGCGGCGGTGGGGCAGAAGCGCAAGCGGCCGCCCTCGCCGGATGTGATTGACCTGGCTTCATCGGATGAGGAAGAGGGAGGTGGGGGCGGTGGGGGTGGGGGTGGTGCTGCAGCCGTGGGGGGCAGCGGCGCGGCGGCGAATGGGCATGCTGGTCCCACCCCTGCAGCAGTGGCAGGAGGCGGAGGAGGAGGAGCAGCGGCAGCAGGAGGGGCGGGGCCGTCGGGGCGTGCTGCAGGGGGCGTTCCCCCAGCGGCTGGTGGTGGTGGAGGCGGGGGAGGCGTGACGGGGGGTCTGCGGATCGTGCTGCCCACTCGGAGGCTGACAGCGGGGCCGGGGCTGGGAGGGCATGGCGGGGCGGGGGCGGGTGCGGGGTCAGGTGGGGGTGCAGCGGTCATGGCGCCGGGTCCCAGCGGCAACACGCCCCGGTCGGCGGATGCAGCTGCTGCGGTGGCTGCTGCGGGTGTGAATGCGGGGCTGGTGGCGCTGCAGCGGCAGCACTTTGAGCAGGTGGCGGCACTGCACCGCCCGCAAGGGCCGCAACACCAGCAGCAGCACCAACAACACGGGCAGGAGCAGCAGCTTCAGGGGCAGGGGCAGCAGCAATACGGGGGCCAGCAGCAGGGCCAGCAGCAGCAGCCGCAGCCGTGTGCGTATCCTGCTCACGCCGCAGCTGCGGAGGCGGGTGGCGCCGCGGGCGTGTCGCTGCGTCACCTGGTCAGCGTCGCTGCGGCCGCTCCGAACAGCATCCGCATCCGTACGGCAGCTACGGCTGCTGCTGCTGGTGGGTTGCAGGAGGCGGCGGGGCAGCAGCAGGGGGCCGTGGCGGTGCCCCCGGGACTGCCGGTCATCTCGCCCTACCAGCCGCACCACCAGCAGCATGCGGCGAACGGAGGGGCCGTTGCAGGCACTACGGCGGGGACGGTGGCGGGGGCGCATGCACATGCTCCGGCGGGGCCTGTGGTGCATCACAACCCGCAGCAGCAGCAGAAGCAGCAGCAGAAGCAGGGGGGCGCGGAGGCCTGGATGCAGTACGTGACGCAGCGGCAACCCCAGCAACATAGAGCCCAGCAGCAGCAGCCACAACTGCAGCACCAACCTCAACAGCAGTATGCACAGCAGCAGCAGCAGACGTACCAGACCCACTACCAGAACCAGCAGCAGCAGCCTCCTGTCGTACAAGCGCAGCAACCGCCGGTTGCGTATACCAACTACCAACCGCAACCACAACAGCCACAACAACAACAGCAATTCTATGCACAACAGTCACAATATCCGCAACACCCGACGCAGCAACAGCAGCAGCAGGCGGGGCTGGCTGCACGAGGGATACAGAACCCAATGCCAGTTGCTGCTGCTGCTTACGGAGGAGGGGGTGCTGCTGCTGCTCCCGGCGTCATGCCTGCAGCCGCCCAGCACAGGGGCTACCCGCAGGCGCCCGCGGGTGCCGCTGCCGGGGTGGCAGGGCGCAGCCAACCCGAGTACATTGACTTGCTGGAGGAAAGCGGGGATGAGGAGGACGGGTAGCAATGAGCAGCCGCAGCAGCAGCGACAGTCGTGTGTTGAGAAAACTGGTCGCGAGGGGGTACAGGCGTGTGTGTCGGTACTCATGCGGGGCCGCATTCTTTCATTGTTTGTGTACGCTTTGGTCTTGACGCGTTGAGCGGAAAGAAGTGGTGTTTGGTTTAGGCCTTGGTGCGGTTGAGTTCGCAGTTGGGGAGGGTGGAAGGTTGATGATGTCGCTGCTACATGAACCATGGGTCGTTCCTTCGGATGATGGTTCCTTGCAGTTCAATGCAATGAGGCTGACAACGGATTGCAAGCGCCCTGCATTGACAGACAGACAGACGTACGAGTCGGTTGCAGATTTGCAGTTAACTGTTCCAGAGTCTTGAGGTCTGGGCACCCGGGATTGGGTAAACTGCGCCGCAAAGAAACACTGACCAGTGGCACCTGGGAGTAGCTAGTGCGGTGCTAGTACGGGGATGCTTGCTACGGGTGCTAGGATGAGGTCTGTCGTCTGGTACGACTGGATTTCCCGGCATGATGCCAACCCGTCATTAAGGATTACTTGACGGCCGTAGCCGCCCACATTGTCACATGTGCATGCGAACGAAGCATGATGTCCATTGGTTCTGGCATTTCGGCTGTCCTCCTTGGCTTCTGGGCCCTGCGAAGGGAATTGGTAGGCCTCTTGGCAAGGAACAGTCGGGGACGTACTTAACTTGACCGAGTCCTTGACACTCTTGTCACATTGTGCTCGTTGGCGGCTGGCCCGTTTCCCCACCACTCAACTTGCTGCTGTCCGGACACACGTGTGAGTGTGGCCAACGAGAGGCGGATTACGTCAGATCTTGTACCTCCTTGCGAGGTTGCGGAGGGCTGTGAGACCTGAGCCCTTTAGGTCGATACGGGTAAGCAGGAACTACTTTTACACGTGCAGACTACCCATGCAAGGGCACATTATGCTCCAGCATCTAAGCACGTTGGGCCTGGCTGGCCTCGTCGTCTCATAGCAAGTCCGTACAAAACCACCACTCCGCGTATGGTACCACTCTTGTCGTACTGTACACCCCCCGCGCCTTGGCGGCTTGTCTTGTGACGCTTCACAGCACCACACAGGGAAGCGCTCTCGTTCCACGGTGAACCAACTGCTCTAGCCGTACGTGCCGTACTATCTAAGTGCCGTACTACGCAAACGTGTGCCGTGGCCCCGGTAGAAGCCTATCGTGACACGCCTTGCTCACTCCACACGCTGCTTGCTGTAAAATACCCATAGTAAGGCTTGTTGCTCACAAGGACAAGCAACCTCTGATGCCATCCTCTCCATCAAAACTGTTCCCAGGCATAATACTGGGGTTCATGCCGCCAAGGCCGCGTCCGCATATGCATTCCGTTCGTGTCCATGCAATAAACGATGGGGAGCTACAGCACGCCTGTGGTTGCAGTTGCTGCTCTCCCAAGCTGCTGCTGCTGCTGCTGCTTCAATCGTCGTCCACCCACTCACGGCGGTCGGTCCACTTGGGTTTCCGAATCTTTGAAATCTCCTCCTGCAAGCATGCATGGCAGGAGTATCCCATAATCGATATGGTGCACGGTAGCCAACAAGGGAATGCATGCACGAAGTTACCGGTACGCAACCCTGGAACGCAAAGCAACAGTCGAAGCCAACATGTAAAATAAACACCAGTTTAGTATCAGAGCAATAATAAGGTGCTATGGAGAAGTGCTGTGTGGCCTACGTCGCCCAGCTGCTGACACCAGACTAACCGGTGACCCTCAACCGCATAGGTACAAGTGCGCGCGACCATCCATTTTACCTCGCTCATGTACTCTCCAGTCTCTGCGTAGGTAGCGCGGTTCAGCGCTCGTAGCTCCTCTAGTCGCTCCTCATCCTTCTCCGCGCGGTTAATGTACCAGAGCGGCGTTCCTATACCAGCTACTAGACCAAGCACCATGCCAGCAAGACTAATCTGGGTGTCAGGATCGCTAAAGTCGATCTCGATAGCGCGACATGGCTTGCACGGCCGATGGCGCGGGGCCACCAGGACTGGGCGTCGTGCGGGCTGCGCACGCTGCACAGTGCAGCTACGGGAAACGCTGTGTTGCAATGAGAAAGCCATTTCCTCTGAAAGCGAATTTGCGCTGGTCCGGACAATAGTCTGTGGTCAGTTCAGGATAGCGTCGTACCAACCTCGGTTCTAACAAGCGCGTAGAACCATGCACCATGGCAACAAGTTTAGCCTAATATAAGTGTACCTTTTCACGACAGAACTGATATTCCGTATGCCACTACAGGTGGTCACCGTTGCATCATGCAGCTTGACCACGCACGCACGCGAGATGATATCCATAGCCCTGAAGTGCCGGTCCGTCGCTGCCCGCAACCCACACCACACACCATAAACATCCTCTTGACAAGCCCTCCAACACGTCATCAGGCATCCGCCTCCCCAACGCCTCCCTCTCCTTCCATCCTCACCACCATCCCATCCTCTCCCACCACCACCATCTCCCTCTCTCCCTCCCTTCCCTCCTCTTCCTCCTCCTCCTCCTCCTCCTCCTCTCCTCCCTCCCCTCCTGACGTCCAACCCGCCACACTAAACCTCACATACCCCGTCGCCACATTCACCTCTGTCGGAACCAGCACGCAACGCGCCCCCGGCGCCACCACCACCACTTCCCCCTCCTCCGCACCTCCCTCCGCGCCCGCCCCCCCAACCGCAATCCCCGCGCACCCCGGAGGCAACCGCGCCACCACCTCCAGCCCCAGCTCGTCGATCAGGAAGGCGGCCAGTCGCAGCTCCTCGCGCTGCCAGCCCAGCAGCGTGGCGGGGTAGTCGGAGCCCCAGTGCTGCCGGAAGTACTCTGAAGGGGGGAGGGAGGGGAAGTGGGCGGGAGGGGTACAGAAGGGTAAGGAAGGAAAAGGTTGAAATTGAAGCAACGGAGTCCTAGGGGTAAGGAGGGGCAGGGGTGAGGGGTGAGGAGGGGTCTAGAAAGAGGGTTGAACACTGCAGTTCCATTCCATGGCCCGACGCATGCAGTGAGGAAGGCGTGAGGAGGAGTGGGGGTGGAGCGGAAAACCACCAGGCACACCACTTCGAACGAGGAAACGGCAGGACACGGCATGAGCAGTGAAAAAAGGAGTGGGATAAAGGAGACGAGAGGGTCAGGAAATTGAAGAAGTAATCCCCTACCCTCCCCGCCCCGCCCCCGCCTCACCAGCTACCCAGTAGTTCTCGCACTCCCGCTCCACCGCCGTCAGCTCCCGGCCCGCCCCCGCCGCCGCCTCCGCCGCCGCCTCGATCTGCGGCGCTCCGTACGGCAGCGGCCGCCCCCGCAACCAGGCCTTCAGGTTGTGGTGCGCCAGCAAGTCGGGGTAGCGCCGGATGGGGGAGGTGACCTGGGGGGGGGCGGGGTGGGGGGGAAGAGGAAGGAGGAGTTCCAATGCGTTTAACGCGATGAGCGGGGTGGGGGAGAAGGGAGAGGAAGAAACTGACGAGCACCCCTATACACACTCCCCCACACACACACATCGCGCACCTGCACGTATGCCTCCAGCCCCAGTGCCGCATGTGGCAGCGGCTCCGGCCCCACCGCCGAGCGGGGCATACAGCGGCGCAGCGCGAAGCCCCTCACCGGCCCCTCGGGCAGGGCCGCCAGCAGGGTGGGAGGCGGCAGGTGCGGGGGGGCGGGCTGGCTGCGGTAGGGCAGCGGCAGGCAGGCGGAGGAGCCTGGGGAGGGGAGGACAGGAAGGGGGGAGAGGGAGCAGGGGACAAGGAGGACGAGGTCTTAGATCTTTCAAGGGACGGGGCAAGGGTCAGGCACACGCAAGTGCCCTTCCGCCGAGATCAACAGCAACAGCGCCCAACCCCAGCACAGCTCCTTCACCCTACACCCTCCCGCCCCTTCCCCCCGCCTCACCCAGCTCCCCCACCGCCTCCCCCGCCAGGATCATCATCTCCGCCACCAGCCCCCGCGCAGCGCTCTCCCACGGCCGCAGCGCCGCCACCCGCACCCCCGGCCTGACGCGGTCCAGGTGGCTGGCCGGCACCGTCACGCGCGCCTCGGGGCTGGGGATCTCAATGGCGCCTCTAGCCTCCCGGTAGCTCCTCCGGGCGGTTGCGGCTGCATGCAGGGCCAGCAGGTCAGCAAGCGCCTCACCATCCACCTGCTGTTGCTGCTGCTGCTGCTGATCCGGCTGCTGTGGGCGCTGTTGTTGCCTTGAAACATTGTCCTCCGTCGCCTCCGTGTCGGGAGTCGTCTTGGGACTGCTGGCTGCCGCATCTGTCACTTGCTGCTGCTGTTGCTGGGACTGGGGGGCAGTGTTGCGGGTGGTTGTGGCGGCGGTGGCGGGTGCGATGAGTGAGTCCGCAGCCTCGTAGGTGAGCTTGTGTGTGACGGTGATGCGGGAGGGGGTGACGCGGGGGCGGGTGAGGGAGCCGTCGGGGCGCAGCAGCACGCAGATGCTGAAGGCATCGCACACCTGGGGTGGGGGTGGGGAGTTGGGGGAGGGAGGTGGAGAGAGTGACGAGACTGGAGAGACGTCACCAAGGCGCTCTGCTTACCTTGACTCTCCCCCTCAGTCTGTTTCTGTGTCCCTCCCCTCCTCCACAGCGCCACAGCACAGCAACACCCTGCGCGCCATGCACCCCTTCTCCTCCTTCTTTCCCTCCTTCCCCTTCTCCCCCTCCTCCCCCCCCCGCCCCACCTGCCCCTCCCGCAGGCTGAACGGCCCCTCCGCCAGGCTGCGGGGGAACATGGGCAGGTTACCCCACGGCAGGTACAACGACCGCAACCGCTGACTGCCGTACAGATCTAGATCCGATCCGGGCTGGATCCAACGGCTGGGATCTGCCACATGGATCCAGATCTTCAACACGCCTCCATCCGCACTCCACCTGCTGCTGCTGCCACTGCCGCTGCCTTCATCGCCCTCGCCGTCCTCATCCTCGTGCGTAGTGACCCATGGTTCAATTGAGATCCCGTCGTCCACCTCAGTGGTGCTTGCATCGTCGATGGTGAACACCCGCAGGTGCGTGAGGTCCTGCCGCAGGTCCGCGTCCGGGTCGGGTGGCGGGCAGGACAGCAGCGCCTGGTGGGGAGCGGGGGAAGGGGGGGAAGGGGGCAAGGGAGGGGGTAAGGGAGGGGCAAGGGAGGAGGCAAGGGAAGGGGCAAGGGAGGGGGCAAGGGAGGGGGCAAGGGAGGGGGCAAGGGAGGGGGCAAGGGAGGGGGCAAGGGAGGGGGCAAGGGAGGGGGCAAGGGAGGGGGCAAGGGAGGGGGCAAGGGAGGGGGCAAGGGAGGGGGCAAGGGAGGGGGGAGGGATGTGAGGAATGCAGATCAGGTTTGGTGTGCCGTACAGCGCATGGGCATGGGCTGGACAGCAGTGTATTGGCGGGCGTATGGAGTGCGGGGCCCGAAGAGGGCGGCTGGGGGGTGGGGGCTGGACGGCGGGGAATGCATGTACGGGGCGGCGCCTCCTCCCTCCCCTCGGCCCCACTCTGCTCTGCCCTAATTCGTGGTTTCCTGTGGTTCGGTCTATTTTCGACCCCCTCCCCCACCTGCGCCGCCCTCTGCGCCCCCTCTCCGGGCTCCTCCGCCAGACCCCGCCGCAGCAGCCCCAGCGGCTCATGCCGCCGCCACACCCCCAGCTCCTGAAGCAGCTCGCCAGCCGCCCCCGCATCCGCCCGGCTGCCGCAACCCGCCAGCGACAGCGAGGAAAGCGCCAGGGAGAAGGAGGCGGCGGAGGAGGCAGCCGCTAAGGAGGAGGAGGAGTCCCCCCCTTGGGGTGAGGAAAGTGCGACCGCCTGCAGCGCTGCTATCCGCGCCGCGAAGGGTCCTGCCAGCCACTCCGCGGCGCTGGGGCGGGAGCCGCTGCCCCGGGCCCCGCTGCTGCCCGCCCGAGCTGCCGACACCGCCGCGCGCCACGCCTCCGCCTCCCGCTGCGCCGCCGCCTGCTGCTCCGCGCGCCGTCGCAGCTCCGCGACCTCGGGGGCGGGGCGGGGGGAGTAGACGGGGATGGCGCCGGAGCCGCTGGGGGCGCGGGAGGTGGCCTGGGTGTGAGGGGTGAGGGGGGTCAAAACTAAAGAAACTGGGGGTCAGGGCAGGGGGGAAGAGGGCAGCTAACCATGTGATAGGGCCCCAACGCAGGGTGGGTGGGTTCGGGGGTGGGGCTTGGGGAAAGGAGGGCATGGGTAGGGTGACAGATGGCACGGGAGGAGGCGGGTGCTGGGGCGGGCTGAGGGTTGACATGGTGCTGCCCTCCCCTTCCTCCCCTTCCTCCCCTTCCTCCCCTTCCTCCCCTTCCTCCCCTTCCTCCCCTTCCTCCCCTTCCTCCCCTTCCTCCCCTTCCTCCCCTTCCTCCCCTTCCACCTGCATCAGTCGGGCCATGGGATTGAGCAGACTCCACTTTACTCCCCCCTCCCCCCTGCTTCCCCCCACCTGCGGGTCCCCCCTCCCCCCTGCTTCCCCCCACCTGCGGGTCCCAGCTCGCACCCGCCCCCACCTGTTTGAAGTAGGTATCGTCCCTGGCTAGCAGGTGGTGCGTGACGAAGAGGGCGCGGGGGGAGGTGTCGTCGAACAGCAGGGAGGCCAGCTCGCGCAGCTGGAGGGCGCGACCGCCGTCAACTGGGGGTTGGGGGGTGGGAGTGGGGTTGGGAGGCGCATGGCAGGTAGGTAGGGAGGTAAGGAAGGTGGAGTGGAGCACGGGGGTCAAAGGGAGGCGGAGGGAGTTGAGCAGGACGGGGCGGGGGGAGGGTGCTACTGGGTGTGCGACCCGCGGGGGTGGGGGCAGAGGGCGCATTCGGTCGGGGAGGTGGCTGGCGCCTCTCTCTCTCTTTCCCTCCCCCTCAAGCTTTACCTCCGCCACCAAGGAGCCCCCCACCCGGCCCCCTACAAGCTCCAACAGCAGCAGCACCTCTACCGGGAACCCTGCCTCCCTCCCCCCCCCCCTTGCTACTACATGACTACTACATTCCTAGCTGCTTTCACTTACTTACGACGTTGATTACAATACTTCGAAGTCTGGAACACCATCAAGCAATTTCCGGTAATCTACGGTCAGGGTCAGTGTTTCCGCGGCTCAGTTTATCTAACCCCCCACCACCACATCATAACACCCACTCACGCGCAATCTCCCACGCCACCTCCATCATCGCCTCATCCGCCTCCGCCGCCTCCGCAGCGGCCAGGAAGCCAGCCAGCTCCGCAACACTGAACCCCCCACCACCACCACCGCTGCCGCTGCCGCTGCTGCCCCCCCTGCCCGGGGCTCCCCCCCCAGGCGCCGACAGCACCAGCTGCAGCTGCTTGGGGGCCACCGAGGTGCGCCGACCCGCCTGACCGGGGGGAGGGAGGAAGAGGTAAAACAGAGTGAAGCCATGGCGGCATGAGGATAGAGGCAACCACCGCATAAACAGCGGTCGGCGCCGCCACGTCTTCCACCACCACTACTCCTTTCTCTTCACCCGCCACCCCCCTCCCTCTTCACCAGCCCCTTCCCCCTCCCTGCCCCCTCCCCCCCACCTGGTCCTCCACGAACCAGTTCTTCTTGCCGTCAGCGGCCGCCACCCGACCCAACACGCTGCGCTCGTTCTTGGAGAACACAACCAGGCTGCCAACCTGCAGGGGGGGAGGGCGGGAGGGCCGGGGGAAGGGGTGGGAGCGGAGGGGGCATGGGTATACCACACCGCGGGGTGGGTGGGTGCAACAAGAGAGGGAGAAAGCTGGAGGAGCGGAGGTTAGGGGCTGAGGGAGGCTGAGACACACCGCGGTAAACCCACTAGGCCCCCCATGCATGTTCCCCGCTATGCTTCCTCATTGCCCTCCCAAACCCATCCCAACCCCGAGCTGCTGCTCGCTTCAAACGTTGCTAGAGGAGTGCCGCTGAGGGGCTGTGCAAACCCGTACCTGCGGTGTGCCGTACAGCCCGGACAGCAAGTCAGGCGCTGCCGTACCGCCCCCGCTGCCACCCCCTGCCGTACTGCCGGCGCCGGAGGACTTGGCCGCATGCAGAGGCCTGAGGTCGCAGGAGCGGGGGTGGGGGCAGCGGGGGGTGGGGGTAATGTCGTATGTGTACAGGAATAGGGGGGAAGGCAGCAGGAGGCAGGGAGCAACTGAGGTGAGGTGAGGAAAATGCGGCTTTTGGTTTTCGTTCTCCGGTTTCATACGGCCACACGGGTACCCGACCTTCCAGTACGCTCAGAGCGTACAGAGAGGTACCGAGTGCGGCGCCCAAGTGTGCGACCTGAGGCGGGGGAGCTCGGAGGGAGCACCCACCCTCCGGCCACCCAGGGTGGGGAAACCCGGGCTGGCGGGCCCCTGGAGCCCGGAGGGCGGAGCCTGGAGGCACCGCCCCCATGACCACCACCGCCCTCCATGACCACCATGAGGGCAGCTGCACCGGTAGACCTCCCGCCCCCACCCCCCGGTTGGGTGCCGCCTGCCTGCCCTCCCCACACAGCCTTCCGCCACCTCCACTACACGCCCCAAGGCACCTCCACTACAGCCCCAAGCCACCACCCACTCACCCACCCACCCGTCCTCTCACCTAGTGCGGGCCGCTGTGGCCCCGCGCCTCCCGCGCCCCTGCACCACACGGCCGCCTCCGCCTGTTCCCGCTGCTGCCGACAGCCCCGCTCCGCCTGCTCCTGCTGCTGCCCGCCTCGCCGCCACCCCACTCCCCAGCCAGCATGCAACACCCGCCCAACCACCGGCGGGTCCGCAGCCGCGCTGGCTCCTGCGCAGACTGCTACCACAGCTGCCGGTAACGGTACTGCAACCGCCTGTGTTCCCATCTGCCGTACAGCTGCTTGTGTTGCTGCTGTCGCTGCTGTAGGAAAGGAGGTGTACGGCGGGGCCCGTTGGTGCAGCTGCAGGTGCAGCATGCTGCCGTGAAGTTGTTGTTGCACCCGCTGTAGCATCCGCTCTGCCTGGTGCTGGTGCTGCGAACACGTGCGCTGACAGGGACCCAGCGGGTGGGGTCACAGCAGCAGCAAGAGGTGCGGTGCGAGTGTGGTGGTGGAGGAAGGTACGGCTGCTGCTGCCTGGGAGGAGCGGGGGGTTGGGGTGGCTGCGAGGGTGTGCGGGCAGCCGGTGGCGGTGGTGATGGGAGCGGAAGGAGGCAGGGCTAGCGGTTGGATGCAGGGAAGGTGGGCCGGGCAGGAGCTGCACGCCCGCTGGAAGGGCAAAGGTGCGAGACATGATGGACTATTGTTGGTTACAGGCTAAACGGTTATCAGCCGCTTGCGTAGGGTAGCTTGTTAAGCTTCGCATCGGGATTCCATAGATGCCCGTATTTTATTTATCACGCTTGCGTTGCTTACAGGACGCTGAATAGGTGTTCGTGCGTCTTGCCTACATACTGGTAACAGCCGTACGGTAAAGGTTTGGTTTATCAGGGATCGGCCAATTCGGCTTAAGCCTGGGCCTTGTGGACGAGCACAACCACCACCCGCAAAAATGATACTGTATTGTTTTGTGTAGGCTTTCACTAATTACGCTGACAGATCATTTTACTTAACGTTTAGCCCAAGTTCAGTGGTCACAGAACCAACCTATGCCGAGCGCGGAAGACGTGTGAAAGCTCTTGGTCGCTTTTTTATTAGCTATGCACTAGAAAATGAGATAATAGGCTCTGCAAAGGCTCGCGTTGCTATGTGTTGAAAGTAGGGTTAGGTGGAGGTCACCGAATAAAAATAACTGCATCCTTTCAAGCACCTACAGTTAGAAAGCTACTTAAGTCGCACAACATAACATGAGCGAATAGTGCCTGGCACGCATCCCACAGGACGCTGGCTACAGCTTTACCTCACGTAATACCTCACATGTGCTAGCGACTGTCGAGAGTGTAATGATGGACGCCGAGGCAACCTTTGTTTAACCTTTGTGGTGCATGGTCCGGGCGGCGCATAGTTCGCAGAGCTTGCATCACCTGTGTTGCCTTTTAGGGAAGCATTGTAACTTTCTTTCATTCATTCCAGTACATAGGTGTCGGTTGGTCGAATGGTCGTAGCTGGGGTGCTCCTCTGCCTGGTGCTGCATGCACAACACCCGGGGCCAAAGTACGGCAGTCACACATGCATGGGTGGAGCCGTTATGGCGGGGTCCCCGACGGCATGGAACCCGTACGTGACGTGGGGGCGGTCCACCCGCCCGTAGGTGGCTGCGGTTGGCGGTAGCGGGTCAGGCAGGCACGTTTAGCAGCGGCTGTGGAGGCGGCGATTGTGTTGAGGTCGGGTGCTTGGGAGCGCTGCTGACTGCTGGCACACCGGCCGTTGGTCCTGCTTGTCTTCGCACGCAGCATGCCGGGCCTGACAAGCCGGATAAGGTATGCTTGAGGAATGCGTTGCCACAGCTTTGATCCTTCCAGAATGGAGGCACAGCAGCACAGCAGCCCACAAGTACGACAAGACCAGCCAGGGGCGGAAATAACCGGGAGGGATGGACGCATGTATTGCATGGTTTGTTTTAGGCCAAAGCGCTGCATGGACATGGCTCCCGAGGTGAAGACCCATGGGTCAGGAAGCGCTGCATAAGGGCAATGTGTCCCTTCAGCAGGAGGAAGGGTTCTCTACTTGTAGGGCTGGTATTAACGCTGGGGGGCAGGTGCCAAACACACGCTGGCCTAAAACGGCACCTTGCGGGGTTGCATGAACTGCCACCGTTAATGCAGTGCACGGGGTGCCGAACCAGATGCACAGTCCAGTCGTCCAGACCTACTCAAGGAGGTGTGAGCGGCGGCAGTCAATAACGTGCCATTCCGCGCCGCGTTGAATTTTAACACACACGGTGTACTTGTAACACGTGAGTGCCGGATAGCCGTCTAAAGCTATCAAGCGTACGTGGCTTGGGGTTGACCAATGAAATTTCAGGACAAGAAAGATGGCGGGTCAAAGGTTCCCTCTTCCTTGGATGCCCGAACATCGACACTGGACAGGTCGGCAGCCCCCCCCCGCCCGACATCGCAGCGTTCGGGACTGCTCTGCCGCGCCGAAGCAAACGCGAGCAAGATAGGATTTGAGTTCTGTTGCTGCTGGGAGAGCGGCGGCTGGGAGGTCCTACACAACCTCTCCATCCATCAAGGATTGGTTACTTGGGTCGTCACCATCTCGGCCAGCAGACAACCAACGAGCCAACGCCGACAGACTGACAAGCAGAAGGGGCTACTTAATTAAGAACCAGCTGCTGTCAGGTGGCTTATCTTATACTTCAACAATATCGGTGTGGAACATACAAAGAGCTGTCTGGCGGCGGGTTCCTTGTACGTACGTACACCCGGAAAAGCTTCGACGACGGTTGGTGTCGAATCGCGACTTCGCCGGAAAAAGCACATTCCAATCTAGCTGACCCGCGGTTCCTTGCCTTGGTAAGGCCTTGTATAGTTGTTCGCAACTACAATCCTAACACAGCGCGCGTTCAACGCGTTACAAGGCACCGACACAACATTGCTATTTACCATCCTTTGCGGCCAAGCCACCCCCAGACGCGGGCCGCAGCACTGCCAAGGAAATGTTGGCGAGCAAGAAGGAAGGTGATACGTCGCGACGAGACGGAGGCAGCGGCGGAGGCGCGGGCTCAGGCGGGCTGGTCAAGCAGCAGTACGAGTGGCTAATCGAGGTGAGCAGCAGCAGCAGCAGCAGCCGGGTAGAAGTCCGGCTGCCTGTCCGTGCGATGTCGTTTCCGAACATGAGAAGGAGGAAAGGTTCCATTGGGTGTGCTGACCATCCGCCGACGCCTCCACTGCTTGCTAGCCTCCCTTCTCGCCTCTGCCCCTGGCCGCTGCCTACTTAGGCCGGCACCCGCTCCCGTTTCCGCTCTCCTTGCCAGGGGGGCGTCACATGTGCTCCTATGGTTCGGTATGGTCTTTGACCCCCAGCTGTCCCTCCTTCCATCGTTGCAAACAAACCTCATCAGCACCACCCATCTTCCCTTCCCCCCCTTCCCCCTTCCCCCGCCACCTCAGGTGGAGCCCGCTGTCCCCTCCCCCGACGGCCGCCTGCCCTCCCTCAGCCCCGTCTACCGCCACATATGGGCACGCGAGGGCTTCCCGCCCGCCCCCAACGGCGCCGCCACCTGCTTCGACATCTGGCGCAACAGCCTGCAGCGCTTCCCCACCGCGCCCTGCATTGGGTGGCGGAGGGCCACGGCGGAAGGCAAGCCGGGGCCGTACACCTTCCTGACGTATGAGGAGACGGAGCGGCAGGTGGGAGGGTATGCTTGGGAGGGGGTAAAAAATTGTTTAAGTGAAACAACGAGTCCCAATCCCATATCCCGACTCATGCAGTGAGCGCATGAGGGGGTGGGGGGTGAGGGGGTGGGGGGGCGGAAACCAGTAACATTGCTGACCGAACTGAGGAGAAGGTGGGCATTACATAGGTTGGCATTATAGGTAAAGGCAAGGAGATGGGGAGGGAAGCAGGGGCCAAGGTGGTACGAGCAGGGGTAGCAGCTCCCGCACGCCTCGGTGCCGTGCTTCCCTCCCGCGGGTTTTCTACAGGAGGTGCCCATCCTCCTCTGCTGCCCCTCTCCTCTTCTCCCTCTCCTTCCCGCCCCCGCCCCCCCTCCCTGCTCATTGCATGAGTCGGGATTCGGGATTGGGACTCCGTTGATGCACTTATCTATAACTTTCCCCTTCCCTGTGTCCCCAGGTGGTGCTCGTCTCCTCCGCCCTAGCCGCCGCGGGTGTGCGGGCGGGGGAGCGGGTGGGCGTGTACGCGGCCAACTGCCCCGAGTGGATGATCGTGCTGCAGGTAAGGAGGGGGGGCGGGGGGGCGAAGGGGGGCGGGGGGGCGAAGGGGGGCGGGGGGGCGAGGAGGCGAGGGCAGCTTCACTTGGCAACTAAGTGAAAAGCGAGTTGGTTATGACCCTTATGAGGCCCAAGTGTGGTGGCAACGGCGAGGAAGTACACTTGCACGCATACATTCCTTCTTCCCTTCCTCGCAACCCCTTCGCAACCCCCCCTTGCTGCTGCCTCTGCTCGTCAGGCCTGCAATCGAATGAGCTACGTCTGCGTCCCGGTGTATGACACCCTCGGTCGCGATGCCGTACAATTCGTACTCGAGCACGCTGCCGTACGGGCCCTCTTCGTGGCCAGTGAGAAGCTGCAGACGGTGCTGGCGCTGCTGGGGCGGCTGCAGACGGGCGCGCGGCTGCAGCTGCTGGTGCACTGGGGTCCGCGACCCATGGGTCACCTGGACCCGCCTGGTAGCGCCCCGCCCAGCAGGGAACCCAGCATTGCGGTGGGGTCGGCGGCGGAGGCGGCGCTAGCTGCCGCCGCCGCCGGCGCCCCTGCTGCAGCTGCAGGCAACGACAAGAGCAACAACAACAACAACACCGGCGCCGCTCCCTCCGGCGGCGCCACTCCCTCCAGTGCGGGCGGCCAGATCGCATTCAGTACCTCGGGGGAGGACGTGTCGTACGTCCGTCGAGTGAGCTTCGCGGATCTGGTAGCGGAGGGCGCCGCTGCGGGCCCGGTGGCGGCGTGTCCCCCCCGGCCCGGCGACCTGACCACCCTCATGTACACCAGCGGCACCACGGGGGAGCCCAAGGGTGAGGGGAGAGGAGGGGAGGAGGGCAGGGAGGGCAGGGAGGGGAATGTGGGTAGCGGCGGGTTGTGGGCAGCAGTCGGTAGCTGCTTGGGGGGCAGCATGTTGTCTCATGTGCATGAAGGGGCGGGCGTTGACGGGTGTGGGTCGGCTTTCCATCCCCATGCCGTCAACGTGCCCATCAACCGCCTCCCACCTCTCTCCATCCCCCCCCCCTTCCCTCGTTGCTGCACTCGTCATTTAATTTTCTCCCCCTCCCTCTTTGGTATGGTCTTTGACCCCCCGCGCCCCCCCTGCAGGAGTCCAGCTGCCCCACTCCGCGGTGGTTGCTGCGGTGGCCGGTATGGCGGGTGCGCTGGAGCACTACAGCGAGGAGAAGGTGGGGCCCGGCGACTGTATGCTCAGCTACCTGCCGCTGGCGCACATTTACGACAGGTGGGGGGGGGGGGAGGGTACGACAGGTGAAGGTGAGGGTGGGGAGCCTGCGAGGAAACGACACATGGGAAAGGAGAGAGGCGGGAGGCGGGGGTGTGAAGGTGGGGGTGAGGTGGTGGGGAGGGGGGAGGGGGCGTGTGGTGGGGTGATGGAAGACACGGGAGTCCTGACCCACTGTTCCATGCCGATGCTCTTTCTATGACCGGGTACGCACCTGCACCCCACCCCTCCCCCTCCCCAGGGTGTCTGAGGAGACGTGTATTGCCGCGGGTGCCGCCATCGGCTACTGGTTCGGGGACGTGGAGCGGGTGGGGGAGGACGCGGCGGCGCTGCGCCCCACGGTGTTTATCGGGGTGCCGCGGGTGTACGAGAAGCTG